TATCTGAGTTCCCTATGGAACCGTTGCGTCTAGTACCGTGAAGTACCGCCATGGCGCCCGACAAACTCGTCATTTCATGGTCATGCCGTGGGGGGGGGGGGGGGAGCGATGTCCTGCCTGTAGCTCAGCCGACACATACCTCGTGCACACATTGCACTCTGTGCAGTCAGTCCGTACTCGATTAATCTATCATGGTTCTAGCTAAACAAGGGCAGGGGGGGGGGGGGGCACGGCACCCTCATACTCTGATTGAACCCCCCCCCCCCCCTTCTGGAAGAATGGTGCCCCTACTCATTAGTCGATTTTTGTGTTTTTCATGTCATTCAATGAAAAATGCAGTCGATAGTCACTACTGGAGAATTCATAAAGGCACATTTGTCTAGGGTGAAGTCCGGGGGGGGGGGGGGGGGCATATGTTGCATTTTGGATGGCAAGACAATTTCGGAAATTGAAAAAAAAAAGGATTACGGGGCCAGTAACTGTCTCCCATGCCCCCCCCCCCCCCCCCCCTACTATCTTGACCTGGCTAGAACCCTGATTCACCTTAGGGCTAAGGTTCTGACACAGTACAAACTAGCTGCACACTGCTAGACGATTTTCCTTTTGCTGGCTGTAAAATTAAGGTTGTCCATACCCGGATCACTAGGTATGGGCTGAGTAAAGGATCGAGGTCTGCCGAGGTCTTTTACTTGGCCTACCGTATTATCTCTAATATAAGCACAGTCTCCAATAATAGCACGTCTCCAATAATAGAACACCTTGGGGCGGCATTCAAAAAATAAAGTGCTCAGTCTCCATTATAAGCACACTGTGTAAATTCATTATCTGTACCGGCGAAAAAACCGTGAAATGTGTGTGTCGGACATGAATTTGGCATGGCAACATACCTCTGAAATAAGGTTGAAATAATAATGGAACAGTCTCTATAAAGGAACGTTTCCATTAATAGCACGGGGCGGAGGTACATTGAAAAAATAAAGGACCGTGCTTATATTAGAGATAATACGGTATAATTATTTCCTGTTGACCTCATCTCGGTCAATATCCTCTATCTACTGTGTATTGGTGTAGGTCCGAGGCAGTGAACTGTGTGTTGGTGTAGGTCAGTGAACTGTGTGTTGGTGTACAGTCGTGGCAAGCGGAATCTGACACTTGGCCTTAGGCCGACTACACTACGTAAAAATCACAGTACACATTTTCGTGCATATCTCAGTACAAGCCGGTACGCAACCACACTTCACTTTTGCTGACTACGTACATAGAACATGCAGTACAAAATCACATAAAACCTAAAAGGCAACATTTTTCCAAGCCTGCATTCAGACTCCACATTTTACATGCAATATACAGGCAACCTTTGACCCTACGTTATTGCGCAATGGACCTGGGATGTGTGAAAGCAGCCGCCAGTCGTACCCGGGTTCAAAGTCTGTACGTTTGTACAACTACCTGGTGAGAAAGTACGATAAATGCAGGAAAGTTGCCTTGTACAAGGGTTCGCGCCCTGCCTGAAAGGATTGGGCAGCTTCTTAGGCTTCCCGCAGATTCTTGATGTTGTCTTGGAAACTTCTATGTAAATGTGACTTATAGGCTGTTTTGTACCTAGTCTGAAGAGGGCCTTAGGGGGTGATTATATGTGCAGCTCCAGCCCGGGCTGGTCGACAGGCGGGCCAGCCCGCCTGCAACGGGATCTCGGGGTTGTACACAAATCCACACAAAACCTGTGGTGCGTTTACATGGCAAGCGGGCTGGCCCGGCGAGGCGGGATCCCGCCTCGAGGCACCCGGGATCCCGGCTAGGCGGGCCAGAAAAAGCACATATAAACAGACCAGCCCGGGCCAGAGTTGTATTATTATGGTGTCGACACTGCGTTCATACTACAAAATAGGTACTTTTACCTTTTGAGGGAAGTTATAAAGAGGATTCCCGATATTGTCTTGAAAATCTATGAAGCTTTTTGTACAGCAACAAGAAGGACGTGCAGTGAGCACTGTTTATTTGCCGATAGCCCTTTCCCAAAGGTGCTCTTTTAATTCCCACTTAGTGCTTTTCGCGTCCCTCAAAATATGCTGAAAAAGTGCTCTTTTTTCAGTGAAAACAGGCAAAAAGTGCTCTTTTGGCAGTGAAGGATAGCCATGATACATGTTCTGATATGAACCCAAGCTGAGAAATGAGTACGCGCTCTTCCATTTATGGGTCCACGAAAGGCAAAACAGGAAATAAAGTTCAAAAAACCCACTTTTTACAGTATTCTGTATACCGGGTACAAGCTTCACCAACTTGTTGCCCCCCCCCCCCCCAAAAAAAAGCGGCGTGCCAAGGCCCATCGTTGGCATCGAGCACTCGGAAACTGTGATCGCATGCATGAGCAAACAGATTTTAGCACTTTTTCCGCTAAAAAAGCTCAAAAAGGGCGATATTCACAAAAAACCGAAATTTAGGGCGAAAGAAACGGGCTTTTCCGAAAAGGGCCAAAAGGGCGAGCATCTTTGGGAAAGGGCTATTTGTCGACATGCATGATTTACATTAAAATGGAAGGGGAACTACTTGCAAAATACTTTGATATGGACAGCTAAAAATGTGAAAAACAGGAAGAAAAACGAGGTGTTATAACACACCAAACATGTGCTACAGCGCGAAAAGAAATCAGCAGAAGATTACATTGTGTGAGAAAAAAAGTTTTTAGGTTTATAACCTGAGTCTAGTATGGCTTGCAGCACTGCGTTTCAGCCCGGGGCAGCACACTACAGTCGTAGTGTGTTTGCTGCATACTCACAACGGGCTGGCGTGTGCTCAGCGACCAGCTCAGCCTTGCACATGTAAACCAGGGAGCCCTACACATACCATGTGTAGGGCTCCCTGATGTAAACACCCTTGGCGGGCTGGCCCGCTCGCTAGCCCGGGCTGGAGTTGCACATATAATAGGCCCCTAAGAGACTACACCGCGTACCGTGCAGTGTGCAGCAGGGAGCCCTACACATACCATGGTATGTGTAGGGCTCCCTGGTGTGCAGCCCCTGGCCTAGGCCCTGCAGCCCTGCAGCCCTGCATACGTAGTACATGTGTTACATACAACTACTTTTATCTGTCTCATGACAGAACTCGTACTCATCACAGTCAAGGTTCACAAGAAAGGTTCAAAGGTGCTGGCAAAATGAATGGGGACTGGATGCCACTACTCCTCATGCGTACCATGTCTCTGAACTGTGCGTGTCTACGCTGTGACCTTTCGACCTGTTTGCGATGCATGCGGCTCTAATGTACAAATTAGGTACAGCTCATTACATCATTGATGTCCATTTGTGGCGCTGTCCCCTATGGCAAGTGTCGGATTTCGCTTGCCACGACTGTAGTTAGTGTCCTGTGTGTTGATGTAGTTAGTGTACTGTGTGTTGATGTAGTTAGTGTACTGTGTGTTGATGTAGGTAATGTACTGTGTGTTGATGTAGGTAATGTACTGTGTGTTGATGTAGTTCAGTGTACTGTGTGTTGATGTAGGTAATGTACTGTGTGTTGATGTAGTTCAGTGTCCTGTGTGTTGATGTAGTTAGTGTCCTGTGTGTTGATGTAGTTCAGTGTACTGTGTGTTGATGTAGGTAATGTACTGTGTGTTGATGTAGGTAATGTACTGTGTGTTGATGCTATGTAATGTTATGCTATCTTGACTTTATTTCACTTCACCTTACTATAGGCATTGCTGCATTCTTGCTGTGGATCATGAATGATGCCACAGCTCCTACAGTCCATTCATAAAAAGATGGGTCCTGGCTCTGGCGAGCTCCCGTATTTGGCGATTTTTCGTGATTTCATCGTACACAGTGCAGTGCTGCGAACTTTGAAATTTGAAAAAGGGTCCAAAAAGGGTGCCTGAACTGGGGTTCGAACCGCAGAATGCACTGTTGCAGGCGGGGTCAAACGGCCTGGATTTTGATGGTTTTTCCCAATTCAGTGCTTTTGGGGCAAAACCTGGCCGAAATCCTATTCTTGCTATGGCTTGCTTTTTGGACAAAAAAACTTCAGAAACATAATTGGAAGAGGATTCCATATGGGATTGCAGAAAAAATTCTAAAAAACTCAACGTTTGACCCATTTATGGCCAAAAGCTAGAAGTTCATTTTTTTCTGAATGGACTGTAGGCTATGATGAAAAAATAAAATGGTACGATTGACGAGAGAGCTTGGAAGCTCAGGGCCCTACGCTATGCTTTTTTGCCTTGATGACCTAGACAACAAAAGCATAGGGATGTAAAAATTCTTATAAATTTCTACTTTTTGTTTTTAGACATAACCTGGGATTCGAACCCGCACTATCGCCCTGCATGCATCCCCCGATACACTTCGTATACATACTAATTCTTCCAAGTTGCTTCACGTTATGATCTTGTATTTGAAAGCCCTATTTGAATAATTATGCATTGTGGCCAGCCGTCTTTGATTGTACGGTACAGTACGGGACAGGCACGGGACAGGTACGGTCAAGGGTAATACGACACCATCTACCGCCTTGATGACGACAAAAAAAGAATAGGGATGTTATAAATTTTTTAATTTTCCTATTTTTTTCAGGCATTACCTGGGATTCGAACCCGCACTATCGCCCTACATGCATCCCCCATACACTTCGCATTCATACTCATTCTTCAAAGTTGCTTCACGTTATGATCTTGCGTTTGAAAGCCCTATTTGAATATTGTGGCCAGCTGTATGTGGCCAGCTGTGTTTGATGGTGTTGGAGCTAAGCTAGTGTCAGGTCACCGAATGTCTCAGTACTCCTTGTCAGTTTTGTGCCATTTTGTCGCACTCGCTGACTGTATGATTATGATCTAGTCATAACTCGTAACATTTTGCCCTTCTCCTTTTTTACCATACCGATAAGTATGAACAGTATGGGAAATAATAAGATGTCATGATGACTATCAGCAGTTACAATAAAAATACCATGCAGCAGTGTATTTTATGTGTGTTGCGGTTGTAGATAGTATGGGAGATAGACAGTGCATGATGGACTGGGGGACAGAAGGTAACAATGTGCCAATAGTTAATGGCGGGAAGTGAGATCATGATTTGAAAGATATTTTTTTGAAATGAACAAGGTTTGTTATAGAGCGGTGAGCATCGGGTAGAGAGTCACACGTTGTGCTGCCCAGAAATTGGATAAAACATCTCCCAGCAGAATTGGGTGGGAACGGGATGCGGAGTAAATTATGGAGCTGCCCACGGGTGACTTTACGATCAGCAAGTGGTATCTGTGGCTGGGCAAATAAATACAAAATGATCTTGAAAAAGAGAGCTTGCACATCCAATGTATAAAACCGGAAACCAGAATCCAGTTGTGCTCGATGAAATCCGACCCAAAGTGCATATTCTACACCCTCAACTTGCAACCCCCTTGATGCCCTGGAAGTGGTACGAATGCTGCTGAACGTACACATCTACACGTATAGTGATGTGATTGAAACTGGTCCAGGTCGCCAGTTTTGCACTTCGGGTCGGATTTCAGTGAGCACAATGATGTCACTCCACAATGATGTCATTCCACAATGATGTCATTCAGTGGTTCGCTCTGGCATACGGTATTGTTGTTGATCGACCTATGTTGCTGCTGGATGGGTGGTCACAACTTGACTGGATGTCCTTTGTCTCTCTATTATATTCTGCATCTCTAGTAAGATGTTCAACACGTAGCAACAGTAGTCTGGTCAACGGATACACAAGTCATTACAGTGTAGTTTCCCCTGGCAATATCACATACCAATGTAATCCGGGATACTACATCTCTGGACAGAGCAATCAGAGTATCACCAGTCACACATCACTATGTCTCATCAGTGGACACTGGTCTACTCCAGAGCCAACATGTGTAGGTAAGCTACAGTAGTACTCCATAACCTCATTGACCCCGCTCGTTCCTCATTCTTCATTCCATTTGGCCTAAGCGAAGACTAGCCAAGCTTGCTTGGCGATGTCAACGCGAAAAGGCTGATAATAATATTAATTATTATTATTAACTGGTTTGAGGGAAAGAGAATAATAATAATAATAATGTTTCCGTAAAACTCTCAGACTCCATTGCAGCGTAGTTTTCACATCGGAAAATATCTCCATTGCACACCGTACATAACAGGCTCTCAGCTGCAGCTGAGAGCCTGTTATGTCCGGTGTGCAATGCAGCCGAAATAATAATAATAATAATAATAATAATAATTCATTGCATTCCCAACTCATCACAACCACGCGCTCTTCAGCCGAACCATACAGACACCAGCAAGGACACTTCCGTTGAGAGATAATAATTATTGCTCCACGCCTCTAGACAGCTGTTTCGCTCCCTGTCAGAGCTCATCAGTAGAGGATGATAATGATGATAATGGAGGAATGATCATTCTTATACACCAGAAATGGCGCAAGTGCGCGCTTTCCACATATATCAATGGCATATGCAAGCTGCTAAAATGGTAAAGTGTGAGAACAGCGATAAATAATCATAGTACGCGCTCATTGGTGGAGAAACACACCACACAGGCGACGAAAATCTTACGCGGAATACTGATGCCAAAGGAAAGTACATGTATGTTGTTTATTATTATGATGTTGCAATGTCCATGTATGCAGGCCAGGCGAGACTCACGACTACAAGTTTCCTGGTGTGCATCGACATCGGCATCAGTGGGGCCTCCCGCTGTCGATCCTGTTGACGGGCGGACAGGTCGGTGTGAATCCTGAACGGCAACCGAGCCTGTCGCGTTGGGGGATCTCGGCGGTGAGTCTCGCCTGGCCTGCATACATGGACATTGCAACATCATAATAATAAACAACATACATGTACTTTCCTTTGGCATCAGTATTCCGCGTAAGATTTTCGTCGCCTGTGTGGTGTGTTTCTCCACCAATGAGCGCGTACTATGATTATTTATCGCTGTTCTCACACTTTACCATTTTAGCAGCTTGCATATGCCATTGATATATGTGGAAAGCGCGCACTTGCGCCATTTCTGGTGTATAAGAATGATCATTCCTCCATTATCATCATTATCATCCTCTACTGATGAGCTCCGACAGGGAGCGAAACAGCTGTCTAGAGGCGTGGAGCAATAATTATTATCTCTCAACGGAAGTGTCCTTGCTGGTGTCTGTATGGTTCGGCTGAAGAGCGCGTGGTTGTGATGAGTTGGGAATGCAATGAATTGAAAATATGGCCGAAAGCTCTGTCGCAATATTTAGTTCTGAAATAATAATAATAATAATAATAATAATAACCGCAATCAGTAATACAAGCTGGATCGACATTTGTGTACACTTTATTCATGTAATGTAGAACTGTGGAGACAATGTGCAATAAAACGATGAACACTACAATTGCCAACCCAAAAAGACCCACCTTGCGTATCAGCAGCTCCCACACCATCACCAACAATGCAATCTACAGCAACCACAACTAATCCACCATCCAAGCCCACTATTGAAAGACCAAGACGATCAACAGCCAATTACAACAGAAACTACGCACTCAACGGACAAGGGCATAAGGAGGGACGTGACAGCAGGGTGACGGCCGAGTCCTGTTCAACGGACCAAGTCAGGCGGGATAACAGAGAGAGCGCAGAGGAAGCAGATGATGGGACGGGCGGTGAAGGGAGCAATGAGTCGGAGAGCGACGATTGTAGTGATCGTGAGAGTGCCGGTGAGAATGTTAGTGTTGTACGTATGTTTCGTGGTAGCAAGTCTTCAGTGTCCAATCATCTGTTGGCTAGTCCTGATTGTTGCAGTTCGTATTCCGACTCTTCTTTCACTGTATTGTGCAGTGGTCGTCATGGTTATGGACTACAGTTAAAAGTTTTGGAAGCCATCTGTCAGTGTCTGTATACGCCTAATTTGTGTGTACAGAAAGATAGTGTAATTGGGTTGAAATTGTTCAAGTAAAGCGTCATGTTTGTACGGCCAAGCTTGGCTATTAACGTTCTAGGTGTAATGTACTGCTGTTATTTGTTATCACTTTGTCCTTCCTTCCTTCTTTCTTTCTCTTCTTTGTTCATTTTTCAGTTGCAAGTTTAGTGTTAGTACACACATTCGTTATTGCTCTCACTTTCATTTTTAAAATTCACACTTGTAAATTTCACTGCTGTTGTTCTTAGTGTTATTTCTCTAACTTAGATTTTCTATAGTAGTTCAATTTTGTTTTCAGTGTCCTTTAGTACAACGAAGATTCCTGATGAGTGTTGTACGAAAACTTGTTTGAATCCCTTTTTTGTCTTCACAATTTCTTCACATTTTCATCGTTTTATTGCACATTGTCCCCACAGTTCTACATTACATGAATAAAGTGTACACAAATGTCAATCCAGCTTGTATTACTGATTGCGGTTATCAAATTGTTGTCTCCTCGCCGTTTGTTCAAATAATAATAATAACAATAATAATAATAACAATAATAATAATAATAACAGTGACTAGGTTTGGCTGGGCTGCTAGTGAAAATTCACTTATCATATTCAACTGGTAGTGGAGTTGACATAACCGTGTGATGACCTTGCTCAAAGAGAATTTCTTCAAAGTGTGAATGCACACTTACCAACTGCAGTTTTCCTGTTCTTATGAAGAGGACAGGTGTCAATGTGCTCCACGCCCGATCAGTCTCACATTATGCAGCACGCTCTAACATCATCAACTGGAATGTGGGTGCACACCGCAGGCGACAAAGGAGACGTCTACAGGATCTGGTGTTGACCGTGTTTTCGCTGGCAGCTCTCCAGTGGTGCTCCAACCAGGAGGTATTTCAGATACCTAGCTCAGCTGCATATAGAAACTTTGGATGTGGCCGAGTACCTGTCAGCTCATGCTACAAGACCCTGGACAGAGGAACTGACCCGGAAAGGATGAACCAAGGGATATATCAACTGTACACAAACATGACAATCCCGTTGCTGTACATAGAAATTCATAATTTCAACACATCATATATAATACCACCGTAGCAACACTTAGACATGTCAGATCAATCCAAAACTTTCAGACAGTGAACATTAGGTGTGTTTGATCAATTTTGAACAAAAACTGAAATGAAGACCAATGAACTACAAGTTACGCTATCATTTCCACTAACTGGTGGTGTTAGTGGACATTATAGCGTACTAGAAACTTGTAGTCCCTTGGTCTCCATTTCTTCTTATAAAAAACAGAAAATCGAATTTTTTGAACTGTGGTCATATTTTAGTGTACTCTGGCTCATATTATCGTTTTCGTTTGCTCCTACTCCTGTTATTTTTTTCTTCAGGTATAACATGTATGGCTCCACCACCTGCCCTGGCAAATAGTTCCATATTGAGCCAAGAGCTGGTGTACCCTGGTATAGTGACATACCAATGTGATGTGGGGTATTATGTAGCTGGTTATGCTGAACAGAATGTCAGCAATGCAACAGTGCAATGTGCACCAAATGGAACATGGATTGGAACCGCACCGACATGCCTACGTAAGTCAAGCTCAGGATTGACACATAAAACAGAGAGGTTCCAGGCTGTCCAATACAGTGCTCAATACCGAAAGGCACAGCTAGCTCAAACGATAGTAAGAGGATGAAAAAATGCTTTTACTCCGAGTTGATGTTTTACTTCACCAATTGCCCAGGCATGATTGCCTTCTCACCGTCCCATAGGTACGGTTCTCACAGAAAGATGAAGTAAATTATATGAGCATGGTTATTCTTCAGTCACGGCTTTCCACTGATGATTGTGACAAGAAAATCGATTTTGGTAAACCTTCATGACTTTGTTGTAGTGTGGCGACGACAGCAGAATTTGTTCTCTTTATAGCTATTATAAATTATATGAGGAAATGTATAGAAATAAAGACATGCAAGCGGTATAATTATTATTATAGAAATGGTTGTTATGTGTGTATGCTGACACTCAATTTGTGTGAATTATTTGAATTGTGATAATAAATAATATGTAGTAGAAGCTTGATGCAGTCACTGTGGGCTCCACTTGTTGCGATGCAGTTAGAAATGCATAAGCTCAAGCAGGTTTACTCTTTTTTGTCGCTTCCGAAATGCATTGGGTATCACTGGTGGCATGAGCCAAGCATACCCTGTATTATTAGAAGCTTCTTGGCGATATGTGGCATCAGCAGCGTTATGAGTGCTTCCAACTAAAATAAAGACTTTAAAAGAAGAAAGGAGTTACAGTGTGCATACTTCAGAAGCATAAAGAGCAAGGTTTTATTAGACTGAGAAGCTAATTCACAGATATACTAAGACATATGGAGGGGGGGGGGGATAAGCATGACCATTTTGTAAATTGATTATGGAATTAAAGGGGAAGTATACTCTACATCAAAATTTCACCAGTTGTAGTCTTCGGGGTGGCGAGTCGACTGGTCTTTGTTGAAGGAAGCTGAGACGCTCCCTCCTTCTTCATTCCCAATAAAACTCACGCACTTCCACCAAACTCGGGCGAGCGTGCCTTACTACCGATTCGTTCTTATAAAAAAGCATGGATGAATGTGATCACATCAATACAGAGTCGCACACAGGACTGTCTTTGGTCGCGTTCGATTGGGAATAAGGGCTGAACGCTGTATCCCAGTCTACTTGGAACAAGATTTTTCAATTCAGAATCCAGAATACTACATTGTTCTGGAAGTTTCACGTGCATCCGTGCTCCCATAAGAACATAAGAGCATAGGTGCTTGGCTTTCAGTGAATTTTCCGCACAAATTCCTGTCTAGTAGGGTATTTAGTAGGGGAGCATACTCACCTGGTTTTGGTGGAAGTGCACGAGTTCGATTGGGAATAAAGGACGAGAGAGCATACTCACCTGGTTTTGGTGGAAGTGCACGAGTTCGATTGGGAATAAAGGACGAGAGAGCATACTCACCTGGTTTTGGTGGAAGTGCACGAGTTCGATTGGGAATAAAGGACGAGAGAGCATACTCACCTGGTTTTGGTTTGAAGTGCACGAGTTCGATTGGGAATAAAGGACGAGAGAGCATACTCACCTAGTTTCGGTGGAAGTGCGCGAGTTTTATTGGGAATAAAGGAGGAGAGAGCATCTCAGCTTCCTTCAACAAAGACCAGTCGACTCGCCACCCCGAAGACTACAACTGGTGAAATTTTGATGTAGACCAGGTCCTCCTTTTGCAGTGAGCCAAATACAAGGTGATCGATGAATTTGGTGAACGAGTCAATCAACCTACATGTACTCATTGTACCCAAGATTTTGTGTGACTTGGTTACAACCTGTTTGCCGTCCTGATCCCCGTTGCAGCAATCATGTGTCACGACCTACCCAATACCCTGCAGAATGGCAGCGTGCTGTCGTTTGGTCTGGAATATACTAGCAACAGGACATACATATGTCAACATGGATTCTTTATATCTTCAGCAGCGAATTTCTCTGTGACATCCGTAACAGTGAACTGTCTTTTGAACGGCTCTTGGAGTGCTCCAGTTCCAACTTGCAAACGTAAGTCTGTTAGTATTGTCCGGACGATATGCCTCACCCCTTGTGCATTTTTGATTAGCTGATACTGGCATCATGTTTTAGAGGTTGAATGGTAGAAGTGATCCAAATCTAGACTCAGGAGAGTAAGTGTTTTTCAAAGTTATACATTTCATTGCTCAGTTCTGTTGCGTGTGGATCAGCATAATGTTCACTTTGTTCAGTCACTCTATGACAGTCCTTATGCTCCACCATAGCCTCTTCCAACATGGTCTACAGTGCAGGGGAAGGGCTGTTGTTGACAACTGCCTGTGGCAGCAGCAGCAGCAGCAGCAGCAGCAGGAGCAAAGTCTTTCCTATTCTGTGTGTCATACAGTATCTTAGAGCACATACACATGTATTGGACTAGTATCAGTGCAACACTACTATTTTAGTGCTTTGCTATTTGGCACCGGTTCATTCTGCCTCTCATTCTGCCACTGCAGGGGTCAGTTGCACACCTGTGCCATTGACAATCACTAGAGCTCGGTCTGTAGCGTCTGGAAGCAACTACTTTGGTGACAGTGTGACGTATGCCTGCTCGGTTGGGAACTACATTAATGGATCTGGTAACATAACGGAGAGAGCTGTGACACTCAGTTGTCTCATCAACGGTTCATGGAGTGACACTGTTCCAGCATGTGCATGTAAGATCTGCATTTCCCTCTGTAATACTAGTATTATGATGATCTGCATTTCCCTCTGTAATACTGGTATTATGATGATCTGCATTTCCCTCTGTAATCCTAGTATTATGATGATCTGCATTTCCCTCTGTAATACTAGTACCGTAAAGTACCATTGATCCGCCCCCACGCCATGTCGCTTCCCAGCTGGTTTTTCGGGAGGGGGCGGGAATTAGATCGAGGCTGTCAAGTGCAGTATGATGTACAACAACGTAGAAGTTCAGACTCGATGTGCTGGATTGTGCACATTTTCATCCTGGATTGGCAAGTATTGTGTACAGCAGTGCATGCGTCGGTTCAACATCGTATTTTCGTTGTATACGCCGAAGTCGCTTCACAGGTAGAAAATCGACAGGGGGCGGGAATTAGAGAGGGGGCGGATCAACGGTACTTTACGATACTAGTAGATCATGAGAGCTTTTCTGCCCACCGGCAATCCAACCATCCGCCTTTTGAGCACGATCCTCCCGCACTCTCTAAAGTCTAAGACATGTGTACACATGTTCAGATGCGAGGCAGTCGCCGTTGTTTATACCATGCTTGGGTGTTCCACTGTGGTGCAATGATGTGCTGGGACAGTCTGTGCACAAGTCGGCCAATGGCCGGGAATTTCTTCAGTTCACCATGTGTGAATGTGACATGTGTGAAAGTCAGAACCCAATCTGCAAATGATGGATATAACCTGGTTATTTTGTGTCCCATGCAGATGTTCCCTGTACGCCCCTCAATAAGTCACTCGCCGATGGCAAGTTCAGTGGCTTCCAACCAGAGTTTGGCGTACAGTACAACTACACGTGCAACAGTGGTTTTCACATTGCTGGCAGCCATGCCCTTGTCACCTTTCACTCGATTCGCTGCGAAAGTGATGGTTTGTGGAGTGGTCCTGTGCCAACATGTGCAGGTGAGAACATTGAATCAATTAATGTACTGCTCCCAGTAGGAGCAGGTTAACATGTGGACATATTCATTGAACTTGGTTTTTGCTTGCCTCTACTACCATGCCAAACCGATATTTTGTGCAATGTACGAACCTGTCCTGCTTCTATACTCATTTGCTATTTAAGCATTTTCCTTTTGCTTAATGCTTTGGAAGAAAAAAAGGCTACAGCAGTTCTTCTTCTGTTTTTGTACTATGTACAGCGGTGGCGTGCAGCAGCATCCCTACTTCCTTGGACAATGGAACTGCAGCATACCTCACACCATCATCTTCCAACACGGCTGGAGCTGCTATCAAGTACACGTGTCTGCCTGGCTACTATGTCCAGAATGAAACCATGACATCGGTCACAAGCAGAGTGTTGTCATGCCAGCTGGATGCTAGTTGGAACGGCACAGTTCCGACCTGTAACGGTGAGCGAATTTCTCTCGTTTGCATGGGTGAGGTGTGACCCACTCTTGCCACTTTGTCCTCAGTAAACCTGGCTTATCCGTACAGGTTTAACTTCCTCATACACATGAACGTCATTTTGATTCTTGTATTGCCCATGTTTGGTAGCTCATACCAGCTACTGTCCAGGTCTCAACAGGATCTTGAATGGCAAGGTGGTCGCCACCAATGGCTTAGCTCTGCAGTCCATCGCTCTCTACTCATGCCTCACTGGATACAAGCTAACTGGACCTGCCGATCAGAGAGCATGTCAAGTCAATAAAACCTGGTCTGGAACAGCACCGGCATGCTCCAGTAAGTTACATTAGCAGAATAACCGAAAGGGGGGGGGGGTTGGAGATTTCCCAGGCTGTAATGTGGTCAATGCAATTCCTTAGTTCTTGTAGAGACCTCCCTAGACATCACTCCGTTGAGTAGCTGGTGTTGGGTGTTTCTTTTGTTGGCGCAGTTGGGCATGCATTGTTATAATGGTCGTAATCACTGTTGGTTAGGTGAAAACAAAGAAATCGAGATTCCCGGCCCGGCGCACGCCAAGATTGAGCTGACGTCGACCTGCTATTTCTTTTCTTTTAACTGTACATGCCCTGATCGCGTGGCTGTTATCTACAACTCATAGAGCTAGGTCTTCTCAATGCAGCTCAACTTTGCCGTGTTCCTTGAGGTTAGGCATGCTCTACCAGTGCTGTCCGGTTGGGCATGCTCTATCCGTCCTGTCCGCATGCATAGACGTGGAAGACCTACGCTGGACAAAGCGAAGTGTGACAGGTTGCGACTCGAAGTTGATATCATCTGCTGTGCTGTATCTCATTTTCAGCACAGGGTCTGGTCCAGGCCATCATTGGCCATAAGCAGAGGTTGTACAGACAAACCGCAGACCTGAATTTTCTCTGGTACAGTGGGGAACGGATATAACGACCTTGCATATAACGACAGATTGAGTTTAGCAACACAATTCTGTTGCCCAAGTCGTTTAGTTCTTTGTGAAGATCGAGTTTAGCGACAGGTCAAAATTAATAGTGACGTTTTGTTCTCTCCCGAAGGAGTGTCGTTATATCCGATATCCATTGTATACCATAATAGCAGTATGAAGTATAATTATAGTGTCAAGTCAAGGCGAAGGAAACGTGCGAGCTCCGGTGCAGGGAGAAACCAATTTTGAACCATACTGTAAAGGCCGATTCATACGAAGTTGATATCATCTGCTGTGCTGTATCTCATTTTCAGCACAGGGTCTGGTCCAGGCCATCATTGGCCATAAGCAGAGGTTGTACAGACAAACCGCAGACCTGAATTTTCTCTGGTACAGTGGGGAACGGATATAACGACCTTGCATATAACGACAGATTGAGTTTAGCGACACAATTCTGTTGCCCAAGTCGTTTAGTTCTTTGTGAAGATCGAGTTTAGCGACAGGTCAAAATTAATAGTGACGTTTTGTTCTCTCCCGAAGGAGTGTCGTTATATCCGATATCCATTGTATACCATAATAGCAGTATGAAGTATAATTATAGTGTCAAGTCAAGGCGAAGGAAACGTGCGAGCTCCGGTGCGGGGAGAAACCAATTTTGAACCATACTGTAAAGGCCGATTCATACTTCATTTCGCGTACGGGAAAAGCGTCGCGTCGCGAAAAAGTTGATCTGAGCTCAACTACTTCGCGTACGGGAAAGTCATCGCGCGACGGTCGTGCGATGGATTTCCCGTACGCGACACGAAGTATGAATCGGCCTTAAGAGTTGAATGCCAAACAAGGCACAAAGTCTAACGTTTTAACTTTTAGCCAGAAAGAAATCCATCGCTAACTCAGGCGGAAACGTCACGCATATGCTAGTCCTTCTCTCTTATGGCCTGGGTAGCTACTTGCGTGCCTGTATTTGCCATAACTGCCCAGATCCTCTTATCTAGCACTCGCGCGTGCGTGCGCGTACACACACACACATTAAATGCCATCCCTTCCCTACCTCGTACATGGCTCGTTGTGTGTGTGTATGTGTCTATGACATTATGTCTGACTCTAAGTTTCAGCACTATCTAGTGAGTGTATTTACAAGTGTATTTACAAGTGTTTGCTCATCTCTTTCCTGCAGATATTGATGAATGTGTTCTGGGGGTGGATACTTGTAATCGAGTGAATGGAACATGTACAGATACCAGTGGTTCCTACAGCTGCTCATGTAACCCTGGTTATGCTGGTGATGGAAGACAGTGCACGGGTAAGGAACTAGTTACTTGTTACTGGGGTGCACTGGTTAGGCGTTAGGTTTGCGTGTGCGTTTGCGTTTGAGACTGGAAAACGCAAGACGTGATAATACTATACTTGTGATTTTCAGCGTTTGCGTTAAAACTGTGCGTGCGGGAAAATACAAAAATGTGGGGAATCGATCTCCAGGTGGCCGTGGATGTTGAATTTATTTTCCTGAGATCGAGAAGTGTTCTGTTTCTGCTCCTATGTCCTTTGTCAGTGGTGCTGGGAGGAATGAGAGTCAATGGGAAGACTGCAGCCGTTGCGTTGCATACCCGGTATTGGGGTGCCAGTTCTGTTGTTGAGGCACATCGTCCAGCTAGGCTAGCCGCTGCCAACTAGTCAGCGCAACCTCCGCCACAAGCTTGCATCAGCTCCATGCCCACGTTGACGGAGCTCAGGGTGACTAACCAGCCGAACAGCTGCCAGTCACGACTCAACACTGGCCGTCCGTGGGCTCTCATCCCTGACAGCATGGGCATCCATTGATTTCTCCACTGGCACATCAAGAAACCGGGCATACGATTTGACTTACAGTCAACTTCGCTAATAACGACTGCGGATATAACGACAATTCGCGAATAACGACAGAATTGCCATGCCCAGAGCAAAGTCCCATCCCACTGTAATATATATAATGAGACTTCGGGTATAACGACACTTCGGGTATAACGACACTTCGCGAATAAGGACACATTTTTGATGCCCCGCCGAGTGTCGTTATAAGCGAAGTTGACTGTATTCAAATTCACATATGAGATCCAACATGTGCGGGCACACAGGTACACACACCCTTCCAAAACTAAATTCAATTGCGAGGAATAGTTTTCTTCTTTTTCACCCGTTTTTCAGATGATAACGAATGTATTTTCAGTCCATGTCAGGCATCATTTCAATCTTGTATCAACTCCGTTGGATCGTACTCCTGTGTGAACAAGTGCACAGTGGATTCAAGCGGAGAGGATTGCCCAGGTCGGTAGCATGACTGTCTCCGCATCACATGTACTATAAAGCGATAAACGTTTGTGGCACGCAATTTCTGCGTTCTCAAGAATTGCGCTGGTTCACGATGAGAATCTTTTGTGATCAAATTTCTTCAAGTGGATTTAGTACGTCTACAAACAATGTACAGAGCAGGTTGCAGCGATTTATATTCGTGAATGTGTGAAGGTCGCGAAAATAGCGAAATTTAATCTCCAGCGAACGAACCTCACTTTACAGTACGTAGACATAGAGCTGCACTACAAGAAATTACTTTTCAGAGGGCACCACTTTGTACAAACAAGTGTTTGTCTAGTACATACAAGAGAACAGCACCGTAACAGATTTCACCAATCAAAGTTCCTTCCTCTACATTAGCGATGTTCTGCTCTACGTTACGGGAACGCGATGCGAAGAATCCCGGGAACTCTCCTCGCGTTCCCGTAACGTAAAGAAAACCTGTTCTGCTCTACTTTCATGTAGAGAATTTACGTGGAATGTGTTCTGGGAAATTCCCCTTCCGTATTCGGCACTTTTCTGCCTGCACTCAAATGATACCCAGAAGGTCCGTACGCATTTTCTCTGCGTGTGCCACAACGTAGAGAACCTCATCTACGCGTAGAAATCTGGACCCAAAGCACACGAAGCCATAGACTCTAACTCAGACACCTGCTTTCGACGTGAATGCTCTACAAGTACGTTTCACTGTGACGTATAGCAGTACCTCTCCAATATCTGTTTTCGATGGCTACATAAATAGAATCATTCTCAGAAAGTAGCAGCGGTTTCAGGAAGAGTCGGGCCACCAGGGCAGTCAACAGATAATCATTGCAGAGTTGCAGAGTGTTGTGGCCGCCAGGGCAGTCAAGAGACAATCATTGCAGAGTGTCACGGGCGTGTAACTCTCAGAGTAGAGACATCATCCAATGTGCTGTAAGTGAAAGAGAGGTGTCCTGGCCGCCTCACCTTCTTCCAATAATCTCTGTGCACGGCAATACCATTATTCTAACTTATGACAATACACTTACTGCACGCTCACCATGTCATCGTAATGGACATTGCGGCCAATCATAGTTGATCATTGGCATGCATCCAGTTTTCCATTCCGTTTTTCACCTATTGGCCAGCCGCCTTATGGTCAAAGGTACACGTCAGTCTCAACTGTGTGTTCCTTGTTGTTCATTCCTGTGCTCTTCTGGTTGTGTCACACATGTGCAGGCAATGGCAGTCAAGAGGCTTCCCCGGCTGGTCTTGGAGTACCAGGTATGGGACACTTCTATCTGGTTTGTACTCTCAGGGGAGGGTTTTGGCAGCTCAAGAGAGTGCTTGATGCACCCCTAGTGCACAGTCTCGTATACGTACAGAGAAGAGAACCAAAGTATTTTGCTGTAACTCTGAGTTTCACTCGTTAGTGGTCATCAGATACTGTAGCTAAAGCATGAAACTCGGAGTTGGAGCAAGGACACGTTGGTTCTCTTCTCTGTACATGTATCTTGTGTGTGTGTGTGCTTGTGGATTTCAGGGGGTGTCAGCCGTTGGGCAGTTCAATAGCCAATTGAGTCATCTTTCAAAGATTCCTTTTGAGTCTCTCTCCCCTCTCCCGGGGAGACCCACGTGACCAGTTTTGGCAGTGAGCAACAAGTACAAGTGTGTGTGTGTGTCTGTGTGTGGGTTTGTGTCTGTGTGTGTGTGTGTGTGTGTGTGTGTGTGTGTGTGTGTGTGTGTGTGTGTGTGTGTGTGTGTGTGTGTATGCATACTGACTGGTTGCAGCTGCTCTGTATGCACATTATAACATGATGCCCTGTCCTCCCCATTGCCTTCTTTACCTAGAAAATGCCAACAGTGTCTGAACAAGACCGTTTACTATGTGCCCCCACGTTTGTATCTCTTTTTTCACTCATTAGGATATATGGGAATAGCTGCTGGAGGCTTCGTTCTCATCCAGTTGATCATTATCATTGTGTTCGCGGCTCGTCACCATAAGCGGTAAGCTAGAGTTTCTATGTTAAATTTGATCAATTTGTTTTTTCTGCAATGCCCTATGGAATCCTCTTCCAATTTTGTTTCTGGAGTCTTTTTCTCCAAAAAAGCAAGCCCTAACAAGAATAGGATTTCGGCCAGGTTTTTCCACAAAAGCACTGAATTGGGAAAGTCCATCAAAAATCCAGGCCGTTTGACCGCGCCTGCAACAGTGCACTGTGCGGTTCGAACCCCTGTTCGGGTACCCTTTTTGGACCCTTTTTCTAATTTCAACCAGGGCCCATCTTTTTATGAATGGACAGTAGCTCTTGCCGAAATGCTTTTTCTGCAAAATGCACCAGTTCAACACCTTTTTTTTGCAATCCTAGGGGTGTCCAGAATGAGAAAATCAATAGGTTAGGCGAGACCAAAATATAATCGAGATTCCCGGGCAGGACCCATGTGAAATTGGTGCGGGCGGGCGAATTTTTATTTTATTATTTTTTTCCAATGTATGTATGCATGCCATGTTGAACTTTTTTTACAGTATTTTCCGGTAATTTTTATTCATTTTTTACAGAAAACAGGTACGCGGTTTACCCGTTCCATTATTTTTCTGTATTTCGGCCAACAATTGCCCTGATCTGTACATCGGGGAGTCGTACAAGCCCGGGTTTGTGTGACTCCACATCACAGATCTACTCACATGATCAGTACTGTACATGTATGAACTGCTCAAAAAAAAATGGCTTTGGCTCGATTTTGGTGCGGGAGGGCCCGGGAATCTCTATTTTTCTTTTGGTCTCGCCTTAGGGTATTTATTTGGGCACGTGGGGAGGGGAAGGTTTTATGGCCCCTCAAAGTAGCCCAAACATGGCAATCTCTAAGGAAGAGAGAGAGAGAGAGAGAGAGAGAGAGAGAGAGAGAGAGAGAGAGAGAGAGAGAGAGAGAGAGAGAGAGAGAGAGAGGAGAGGGAGAGGGATAGTAAGTTACAAATAATATATAAAGACAGGTAAGTCTAACAAATGAGGACTGAGACCTCTACAACAGGGTTTTTACGCCAGAAAGCAGGTACACGATTTAACAAGCAGGTTGTCAGTCTAGATTTTATGCGCAGATGGAGAAAAATGAGAGAGAGAGAGAGAGAGAGAGAGAAAGTGAGAGAGAGAGAGAGGGGCGGGGGGGGGGGGGAGGGAGGGAGGGAGAGACAGATTTGCATTGATGACAGTAAAAGTGAGTGACATCTTGACCAATACATGCTCTTGTATTGTTTTGTCTTTGTGTGCAGGAAACGTGTGAGAGCCACAATCCAAGGAGTAAGTCGTATGGACTGGACTGGTGGAATGGAACAGGAGAACCATCAGAGATATTCTGACGGCGGAGGTAGGTGACGGTTGCTCTGCAGGGTGGCTTAGTGATACAGTGTCTTCATACAGAGCTAGACTCAGGATAGTGAAATTGAATATGCCCCTGCAAGTGTACTTACGATTGACTCATAGGGGGGGGGGGGTAAAATTCACCTAGGGAAATGGCGTCAATACACACACCAAGCGCTACCAGATGCACTAGCCCGCTATATCAGATACCACTAGCTATCCATCGACTAGGCGCCATGTGCAAACTGATGATGTGGTGGCGGCGGCGGTGGTAGTGGCGGTCCTGGTGGCGGTGGTGGTGGTGAGAAGTAGAGCCCTGTGCCACAGTCTAACTCTGCAGTTTATAAAGCATGTGTGTGTGTGTGTGTGTATTCCTGCCATACGAGTCAGCTGGTGTGTCGTTGGGTCTGAGAATTGTCCACTTTATCGTTCGGATAAGGCAAGCATGCGACTTGGTCGAAACAGTCTTTTCCGCATTCCACGTTTGACAGGGTTTGACTTGTTGTGGTGAATTTTCACTATCTGAACGTTGGTGCACCACAATTTGTCCAAAATACAGAGTCTGGCAAACACAGGCTTTCTGTCTGTGCCATGTTACTTTTAACTTTGACTCAGGAGTAGAATTCATAGGATTGGGAGAACTTCAAACTCAGTACAACTAGTCAGGGAAGTGAACTCTCAGAACAGCGATAAATACCAAACCGACTCAGTGGGACTCGAACCTGGGACCTTGCTTGTTATGAACAATGCCCTAATCACCTACGCTATGGGAGCAGGATGATCAATAGAAGTAGTGATCAATCAGGAGACCAACCATGGTCAGGCTCTGGAACTTGCTGCCAGATGTCAAAATAAAGTGATTAAATTCACGGGAGTAGTAAGTTCAGGTCAAGAGCTGGGAGTCGCACAGACGCATTAAAAAACAAGGTTTTGTGCGATCCCTGGTCAAGAGGGTGGGAACTGTTGTGTACATTTCCAACCACCAGGTCGAGGACGCGTGTGCAGTACAGTACGGCCTTACATACTTCACAGAATCATACGAGGATACAATCATTATCACTTGCCTGACAAGAGGTCAGGGAGGGGCGCATGGCAGAGACGGGGCGGCGCTCTGGCGGGATTTTACCGTACTATGAATGGACGGACCGAATGAAGATGGCATCAATAAATTATACAAAGCAATGTGACTGGGCGATTGGGAACAAGACCAAAATGCCATCAGCAAGCATGGTACGTGTTGTGAACTGCCAATGGGGTGAACGATTTGTCAGCGCCTTCTTGGATCGGGACAAGCTAGTTCCAAGGTTTGAGTCCTTGTGGGTTTGCGGTTTTTTTCAGGAATTTAAAAAAATATATCCTGAACCCGCGGCAACATGCTAGCAGAATGATTACCCATACACCAGCACTGATCATGGTGAAGTAGGAGCTTTAATTTGTTGAAGAGCAGCCAAGTCTACATAGAGCAGCTTGGCTACATTGAGCAGCCAAGTCTACATAGAGCTGCAGCTTGGCTACAGGAAGTGGAGAAACTACACAAAATGGCAGACTGTAGCTGTACAAGCAGTGTCACACATAGCCGACTGAATGTTCACTTGGCGAGATGCAAGGTATGACAGCTGATGCCCAATGGCGCTGAATCATATGTCACGGTACCTGAAATGGAGGGTTATAGAGATTCACGGCTTGCTGTGTCTGTGTCGATGACGAACCTTTGGTGTGGACATAAGTTAGCTTGTGTGCAACCCTATATTCTATCTTTCCAGTACTCATTCCACTCTGTCTGCTGTTACAGGCTCCATTGGAAAGAAATCTGGAATATCCGTTCATAGCAAACTGACGCCCCTACCCAGCTTTCACCGGGCCGACGGCATAACACTGGTGAGCGTACTCAGTGACAAGGTGATTGACACATCATCTCGCGATGGCATAGAAGACGACTCTTGTAGCAGGAGTGGCTGCTCGGGCGGTAGCAAGTCACGGCAGATGCGCAGTGTTAGTGATTCATACCAAAGCACATTCCACACTAATTTTAGCACCAGTCGTGCTTGCACTGTTGAAGGATATGAGAACAGCTACGCCTTATCCCCCGGCAAGAATAACAGAGAAACTGCAGCAACCACTACACATGGTAAGGATGCATATGGATATTCATACCAGTATGATTATTATATGAACTCGGATGGTGAGCCAATTTAATTATGGTAAAAAAAAAAGAAGAAGAAGAAGAAGAAGAAGAAGAAGAAGAAGAAGAAGAAGAAGAAGAAGAAGAAGAAGAAGAAGAAGAAGAAGAAGAAGAAGAAGAAGAAGAAGAAGAAGAAGAAGGAGAAAATGTTATGAATTATGAGTTATGAGTCGGATGATTAACTGTCCACCAACGCAACTATATCATATACAGTCAGAGAGCGTGAGTGTGTGTCAGGTCGCCGAATGACTCAGTACTCCTTGTCAGTTTTGCGCCATTTCGTCGCACTCGCTGACTGTGTATGATAATTGTTGCGGTGCGACTTGGTCCCGCAACTAACCGTCGTCGGGCAGACCACAAAACACAGAAACTCCTTTACATCGACTTTACCACTCGTTTCAACAAGAACACAAAAGAACACACCGAACAACGATCGCCGAATCGCTGTCCTGAGCAAAACATGCAGCGTGCGTGCATTTGGCTTGCGCTGCATGCATGCACACAACGACGTACATGTACGTGGCATAGAGAGAAAATGCAGGGTACAGAAAATGCATGAATCATCGTAGCCATAGAGATACTAAATATGGCGACTGCCAAAGTCCTCGTACCGTCGTGCAGCGCGGAGTGCAGGTGCAACGAAAAGAAAAGCAATAATTTGAATGTAGAACAAACAGAAACTCGCAATCTGCTGAAGTGAAAGAATGAAGAATTGTTGATTATGGAGGTGAAAACGGTGCCTGTCAAGGGGTGCTTGCACCCAGCGACAGGGTGATAGCACACCCTGTCAGCGAGAGTAAGTCTCGCCAAGTAGATCGTAGCGGAGTTGCCGCGGATAGCGATAATGCAACGGATCAAGTAAGTACATGTACATTGCAACCAATTAGTGTGTCAACAATTCTACTTACCGTATGTCAGCATCTTTAAAGCCATGGCCTTATTTTCGAAACACCGCTGCTTTCCTAGATATTTTAGATGCAAAATGACTCACCCACTACGCCATGCCATAAAAGTCGAGTCCACACAGAAATTTCAATCTAAATCCACTTGTTCACCCTTCCTGCTGGTCTGTAAGTTTGCAAGCATAGTACTTATCACTCCATTTTTACAGAACATACTTCAAATGTCATTTCATTTATGAAGCCCATGGTTTTATAACTGAGACTGGCTTTATAATCGAATATACCGCCATGGCTTTAAAGGTGCGGACATACGGTATAATTCATAAATTAGCACACTTCACAAGATATTCCACTCGTGAACATGCCGTGGTACGAACACGCATATCAATTACTGTATCATAAAATGTGTCTCGACGTAGACGTAACTGATATGCACTCGTGATGTAATTCTAACAGACTAACAAATAAATATTACACTCGCGAAATGCATAGCAGTAATACGCACCAATATTGCAAGCGACCTAGCATGTCTTGACAATGCTGCCCTTGCAGCATGTGACAGTTCTGTACACAATTCGTAACTACAATACACTAATAGTATCAACGTGCAACATGTGACAACATGTGACAATTCTAAAGAATAATGTTCAAGAGCGCAGTCTCCTGTCCCATAATTATTATAATTACGTTGGCGGATAGTTAGTCATAACTCATAACATTCTGTCCTTTTCTTTTTTTTCCATGATCATTGTAAGATATTCATTAGTTGAGGGAATGGAAAAGGGAAAAGTCTGACGGAAAAAAACTTGACTGTCACCACCAGTTGTCACCACCAGGTCATATGATTGTACAATTTCCTTTTCTCCCTTTCAACACCTACAATTTCCTTTTCTCCCTTTCAACACCCTCAACTAATGAATGAATATAATGTAGGGTAATATTTCAATAACCGACGAGGAGACAATGATCGCAAAATGGCAACAAGAGGGCTTGAAAGCCCAGGAGCCCGTGTTAAGCTTTGTTTTTCATAGGTTGTCATTTGTGTTGTTTGAACTGATAGAAACGTCTTTGCGATACAAAAACATGTGCCCGTCCTATGTTATCATATAACTTAGAACCTTCCAAGTTTGAAGGCTGATGGAGTGCGCATCCAGACGTGCTAGAGCTGATAGCCAGTTAGTTGTAGAACGCCAGTACCGCCGGTCAGTGTCGTGCAATGTTATCGCATGAGCTGAATGTTTAGTGAATGGTGGTGTTAGTGGCCATTATAGCGGAGTTTGTAGTTCCTTGGTCCTTTTCTTTACAATAAATTGATCATTGGCTCTCCATCCGAGTCTATAATCGTAGTTTAAAAAGAAAGAAACTGGAACTCTCCGACAGGCACATTCTACCAAGCTAGTTATTAGAGAGTGAGAAACTTCGCACGAACTTTCGCAACTTTGGACGCGAAACTTGCAGGGAACGCGAAATGAACTTTCGTAGGAAGTTTCATGAGATTGGGTCATGTCGTACGTGCACTTGGCGCGTGCAAACTACGAAAATGTGCAGAACACAAAGTTCGTGCGAAAATTCGTACACATTTTCGCAAGGCCTGTCGCAAAACTTCGTTCGAATTTTCGTTGTGCAGAACCTCTCTATTATTAATATTACGCTATGGCGCTAACTGATAACTTTTTCATTTTTCCTATTTTTTTCTACGAAATTACGAACTTGGGATTCAAACCTGCACTATCGCCCTGCATGCATTCCCTCGATACACTTCGCATTCCAAATAGCTTCACGTTATGATGCTGCAGTTGAAAGCCCTATTTGAATATGGTGGCCAGCTGTCTTTGATGGTACTGTACGGGACATGTACGGGATAGCGCCAGGCATGTCCGACGCCAGAAACAAATTAACACACAGTGTGTGTCACACACACACACACACACACACACACACACACACACACACACACACACACACACACACACACACACACACATACAGATACGAAATAGAGTGGTGTTGTCCCCGGTTAGCGCCAGACGCTACTAAAGCACTTGCAAGTAACGTCTTTTGCATAGCTTTGGGAGTAAATAGGATTAATTGTGCATTAATCCACGTGATGTGAGTTGCATAGAAAGGGCACCAGGAGTTGCACACTCTTGGGGGCGTATGCACTAGTGCCGCTATGAAGTACACCAACACGCATGGCACAGTGTTAGGAGTTATACGGCTGCTGGCTGCGAGTGGACAACGTGGCCCAACATAGAGAGAAAGACAGAGAGAGAGAGACAGAGAGAGAGAGAGAGCGCAAGAGAGAGAGAGAGAGAGAGAGAGAGAGAGAGACAGAGAGAGAGAGAGAGAGACAGAGAGAGAGAGGCTCAACATAGAGTTTTTTCCTGAGTTCTAATACTCAAACAAGAAATATCAGCCCTTGTTTACCCCTAATTTTATCTCCTAGGTCGTGATCATGCAGTACATTTCCACCTTTCTTGTATGTTGTAATAATGAGCATTCCTTATTTTGGGATACTGGAGATTTGGGAGTTCACTTTATGGAATGAAATATTTTCAGGTCCAACGATTGAAATACGTTGTCATAAACAAACACACTTGTATTGGCGAAAAATATCACGGCATGCAGGAGTACCTCCCAAAGTGATAGTACTATTGCCGGATTTCATTCTGAAATACACTCCCAAAGTCGTACCACAATTGCCAGATTTCATTGGGACATACGGGTAGGTCGTTTGATTACCAAACTTTGCAAAGGCAGCCAATTCTTCGAAATTCTCAGCGCTGAGTTTCTGCAGGTTGTAGCAGGAGTGTCTTGGCAGTAGGTATTTCACTGGAGAGTATCCAGACCTGCGAGCGTATCTACATACTTTGGCAACCATCTTACACCAATCTCGGTTCTGAGGCAATTGTCAAACTGGCCGTGTTTGCATTAAATGTTGTCATCTCCCGGTATTTTACTAAGTCAGTCACATACCGTATTATCTCTAATATAAGCACAGTCTCCAATAATAGCACGTCTCCAATAATAGAACACCTGGGCGGCATTCAAAAAATATAGTGCTTAGTCTCCATTATAAGCACACTGTGTAAATTCATTATCTGTATCGGCGAAAACCCCTGAAATGTGTGTGTCTGACATGAATTTGGCATGGCAACATGCCTCTAAAATGAGGTTGAAATAATAATGGAACAGTCTCCAATAAAGGAACGTCTCCATTAATAGCACGGGGCGGAGGTACATTGAAAACATAAAGGACCGTGCTTATATTAGAGATAATACGGTAAATCAAGCGCTTAACACAAGTTAAGAGTGGCACACATGGACATGTACCTGCTATTACAAGTCGGCGCTAACGGTTGATGTGACACATTTACCTGACCAATGGGTTTAACCCGGGATTCCTGTCATCTGACTTTGTCTTGAACAAGTCAATGTGTGTGTGTGTGTGTGTGTGCGTGCACGCGCATGCGTGCATGTGTGTGTGTGTGCGTGTGTGTGTGTGTGGTGTGTGTGTGTTCATGTGTGTGGGTGCGTGGGTGCGTGCATGCGTGTGAAATCCAAGTTGTGTACTGCCAACCCTTTCTTCTGTCTCTTCATTACTCATTCAATTCTCTTATATGCACAGGGTCGAGCAGGAAGAAATCTAAAGCTGGAAGAAAAGTCAAAGTGACGACCTCACCGGCCAGCTTTGAGCCAAACGGCATAACCGTGGTGAGCCCAGGCGCTGACAAGGTGGCTGGAAGAACATCTCATGGCGGAAGAGAAGAAGAAATTCGCAAAGCAGCTGTGAATGATGGTTGCGTGGGCAGCAGTGTGTCCACAGTTGATCGATTGCTCAGTGCTGGTGATACATACGAACTGACGTGCAATGGTACGCCTCGTGCCAGCTGGGGTAGCATTGGTGGAGACTTTGATAGCAGTTACGGAATATCCCTGCTCAGTGATCACTGTTTGACTGCAGCAACCACTACACATGATAAGACCAATATTATGCCTCGTGCCAGCTGGGGTAGCATCGGTGGAGACTATGATAGCAGTTACGGAATATCCCTTCCCAGTGATCAATGTTTGACTGCAGCAACCACTACACATGATGATAATTCATATACCATGCTACATCGTGATGCTGCCCGTGCAAAGAATCACCAACAAGCATTCGGCCAGGGAGAGATATATGATAGTTGGGAGTATAGTGATGAGGAAGATGACGACAGCAATAAGCTATACAGTGTTCCTGCTGGCCTGGGGGATAAGGTTAGATGATAACTCCCTGAGTACCAGCACTTTTGGTCAGCAACCGGTCAACCTGTCCCTCAGCCAAAGCTGACTGTGGCTTAGAAAGAGCCAGATTGCAAGTTCTGCATGCCGGAAAAGTCTGTGATGTAAATCACGATGAAAATAAATTCCCACAACGATCAACTGTGGCTTCCTGCATTTCCACGTTAGACTGAATTCGTCGCCGTATGTACTCCTCGTCAAGCTCTTGCCGAAACAGTCAATAAGCTGTGACAATAAGCTGTTTCACCCTCTGATGTACCTATACTCCATGGAGAAGCTTCAAATAACCAACTGCAGTATGAACCCTTTCAACCAGTGATTTGTGCAATATTGCAAGGCTCTGCTCAACTCGACACTCATGCAAGTTTCAGAGTCATCTCAATGATATCTTCTTGGCGACCGCATGCCCTTCGAGTTTCTTGACCCATGCATCAAAGTAGGCCATGTGCAATGACGTAATATTGTCTTGAGGTCCATGAACATGCAAGCACACACACACAAGCACACAGTACACGCACACACCATTGACCATTTGACACCCATCTCCGGAGGCGATGATAGCGATGCTACAGCAGAAGCCATAGCAACTTGTGCTGGAATTGCACCACACACACACACACACACACACACACACACACACACACACACACACACACACACACACACACACACACACACACACACCTTGAACCTTGAACGTGCCCATTGCCGATGGCAATGATAGCGAAGGGACTATCTGCTAGCTTTGCAGTACGGAGCGTGGCGCTTGAGATCCCCGGGACGACGGCAGACCTTTCCACATGCGCAGCGGAAGCCAGAGTCAGGATCAGGGGCACGCACACGCACACACACACACACACACACACACACACACACACACACACATACACACACAATTTTTTGTTTGGCTTTTCCGAGTCCATTCTCTGTTTTTGTCCAACTTATTATCGAAAAAATTCTTCATCTTTTGCAGAAGCCAGGCCAATTCTCTGGTGAGATGGCATCTGTGCCGGTTCAAGTAAAATAGAATACCAAACCATACCACACACAGACACACACACACACACACACACACACACACACACACACACACACACACATACACACACACACACACACACACACACATACACACACACAAACACACACACACACACACATGCACGTGTATAGACACGTGTCCACCCATTCTGGTACACACTTCCACAGATTCCACAACAACATTTTTATTTTTGAAACATAATTATTGGAATTGAAACTCGCATGGCGAGCCACTACTATTTTCTCTTTAAAATACATTGACCTTCACTCTTTCCTATACTGTAATTTCACAAATTTTCGGTGTACTTTTATTTTCGGTACCTTCGGTGCGTCTGTTTCATACCTAAAATTTCAACACACCGAACAAACACTATCACACGTAATCCAATAGGTAACTGCTTCTCTGTACCGAAACTTTCTGTTTACCTAACCAGGCCTGTTGCCCTTCTACCGAAAATATTGAGCACCTAAAATTTCTGAAATTAGAGTATCTCTTATATGAAAATTCAACTTTCAAATGCTTTTTCTTAAAACTGGGCAAAACTATATAAGCCCCGCCCCTTTTCGGATCTGGAGGCTCCTATATCATTATAGTAGTTACATGATCAATATCATTTTTGTTATTAACATTGACTTTATTCTTGATGTACACAAATAATTTCAAAATTCACCGTTCTGTTTATTTTCAAATATGATTTGATTTATTGGTATCAGATTTTCCTTTGGAGACTTCTCATTACTTTTGAGCTAAATGCTCGCTCATGGTTTTTTCTCTTCAAATTCAGCATTTCACTGGCACAACTTCATTTGCTGATTTTCCTTGGAGTCGGTACAGCCTGTCGTACCATAATATGTTGGACAGTGGTTTAACAGCGACACTAGCGCATGATAATTAGGGGATGATGTGTCATCTAAACCAGTTCACGGACTGACAGCTCACAGAGCGACAATACCCGCGGAATGACGATTCACAGTATGACATTTCACAGAAAAGAATGCCTCTACGTAAAGACAATTAACCAAAACCACATTTACAGTCAGAGAGATCCTTGCGCCGAAACACATGCCATGTCTGTATCTTTAAGCGAATGATCAGTTCACAGAATGCAACTCTAACACGGATCTTCTCTATCGGAGCTGAATTTTTTCAAATTCATTCATCATGGGGTATGACAGCACGTATAAAATTAATTGTAATGATCACGTGATGGTCTCTCTCGAAACTGGGTGACCGCGCCCTACTACATGGAGATTTGTATGCAAAATCCCACCCAGTTTCGGTGGAAGTGCGCGAGTCCGATTGGGAATAAAGGAGGAAGGGAGCGTCTCAGCTTCCTCGGACCAAGACCATTCGACCCAGCACCCCGAAGACTACAACTAGTGAAAAATTGATTGTAGCGTATACTTCCCCTAGTGTTTTGATCGGTTGTGACAAGCGCGGCATTCCTTCGTTTCTGCATAGACACTCGGCAAAATACGGCCAAATTGTGCACAATGCTCCATATGAGCCATGCTTTCTTTTGGGAATGAATAACAGGAGGCTGCATTGATGGTTGGTGGATTCGAGATACCGGTAGTGTTGTGCTGGTTCACTAAAATGTCGATTCACTTCCAGATTTCGGGGGGGGGGGGTATGCTTTTAAAATTGCTGCCACAAAACGACGACGGCAAAACATGGAAGGTTAGTTGCAGCCCTTGCAGTCCAGGACTCCAGGTTGTCTTTCCGATGGCACATGACAGTACATCACCTTACCTCGTCCTCTCTTCCCGACAATAGCATAGCCATTTCCTTTATAATGCCACGTCAGTCAGTCCACCACGCTTCCACGGCACTCCTTACATAATCCAGTTGGTATATATCTTCTTGAACAAATAGGAAGAGTCTCCAATTCTTCAATGTAGTAAATGCATCTACGCTGTCCTCACCAGTCCAAAAGAACACAACGAAGATTTCCGAACCGAACCTATTCGCTCCCTTCTCATTACGGAGGATTAGCAAGACGAAATTCGTGTTCGCGTTCGCAAACATTTTTCAGGTCGCGAACTGGATTGCGAACTTTCGCAGTTTTCGTTCGGAAAAGTAGTCGGAACACGAATCGCGGATTCGTGTCAGAGCAGTCATAAATTTACCACGCTGTACCTGTACATCGTGCCAACGTCATGCATGTGCGAATTCTGTTTGCTAATCCTTCTCATAACGCGAATTCCGTCACCGAGTTCGACTTTCCTTGGAGTGCGAACGCGAACGCGAATTTCGTCTTGCTAATCCTCCGTAGTATGGGCTCCTACACTGCATTTTGCACAGGGAAAACAGTGAAATGAGTACTAGTAATGCCTGGTTCGCTCTAGCCCGATTTTTCGGCCGATATTGAACCGTGCGGCATGAAAATCGCCTGGTACATGGTGTGGACCAACAAATGGAATACTAGTAGTGTTCTCTGATATAATATTCTCTACGTGCTGGGTATGGTCGCGTTTACTTGGAAGCTCAGTGCATCACCACTTTCGATTTTGAGACTTGGCCGATGGACTAGTAGTGTTGTCACACATGTTTCCGACAAATTTGTGTGTGTAGAGGTAGTCCGAGTACATGTGTATGTGACTGTCCAACACAGTCGGCTGATTTCAAGTCGGTACGCGGTACCGGCGTCGGAGCATCGGCCGAAAAATCGGCCTCGTGTGAGCCAGGCATAGACAGCAATGTGTATGGGCAAATTTCGATTTCATGTCGGGTGTTGAAGCATCGGCCGAAAAATAGGCCTAGTGTAGTCCATGCATAAGGTGAGGAGAAGTCGGCGAGGGTGGACTTCTATTGCTGGAGTCGTACAAAAGTACCAAGGTGCAGAGCTACATCTGCACCAAGGTGCAGATGTAGCTCCTAAAGAGGTGGGAGGTGAATAGATCAGACCCACCAGTGCCACCACCAAGTGGTAGATCTACCCTCAGTTTCTCAATTATGGTCTTTGACAATCCCCTTATGCCTCCCACCATGCGATACCTATCCAACACTGAACACCGAAATCTATCACGAAAGTAGAGACAGACGTTTTCCACGAAGAGCCCGCAGACTTTGGTGCATTGGCATTGTGCAAGCACGACTAACGTACGCATCCAATGCATTCTTCCCGTCGCTGACACAGCAGCTGCAGAGTCGTTTAATCAAATCCAGCAAATCCGGAATTCGTGCAATTTTCCGACTCTCCAGCCGTGCATCCACAGCCCCCCTCCTCGTGCGCTTATCTATTCGATCCCTAACTCACATTTTTAACTACAAGGTTTTGTTTTTTGTTTTCCGTTGCCTACATGATCTTGCAAGTCCTCTTTTCTGCACTTACTTTCAGTTGATGGCTAATACAGGCCAAGCATCCCGGGATGATCGCCGAATTACTCGAGGACAGGAACAGCGGCTACTGCAAGTGCCTTTCCTTCCTGGACCTTCCGGTCGTCAGTCATTGACATTTGTGGGAAGCACTCTTTGGAATGCCCTTCCCAGCGATATTTGCCTCCACAGTGCGGCGTTTGCCTTTAAACTGGCTCTGAACAGAATTTTAAAATTGTAATTAGTAACCACCTTGCTCGGCATCCCTGCACATTACTGCATGGTTTCTCTGTGTTTTCTTCACTGCATGCTTACACATACACACACCCATTTGAATCATATAAAACTTTGTGCTTTGGAATTATCATGTTATGATTCTTTTTAATATTTCCTTCTCTCATAATATTATATTCGTTCTTAGCAGGAACCGGAGGTTTTTCCTCTGGTGAGAAGGCAGAATTGCCTGTGCTCTAAACGAATTCAAATAAAAGAAACAAACAAACGTTGCAATGTACTATCCCCTCCATTGTGCTGTCTGTAGTACTGCAGCCGTCAGTTGTTTTGCCAATAATTCCGGATCTTTCACACCACATGTGCACATTCCGGATCTTTCACACCACATGTGCACATTGTGCACATGTGGTGTGAAAGATCCGGAATTATTGGCAAAACAACTGACGGCTGCAGTACTACAGACAGCACAATGGAGGGGATAGTACATTGCAACGTTTGTTTGTCATACAGTATCTTGTTTCGCCATCAAAGTCGGTAGCCGGCAAAGGAGGTGGCTTTACGCTCGCCCGGATATGGTGCTTTCTACATGAATGCGCCTGCTTAGACTTAGAGCCGACACATTGAACAGGATAACAACGCACAATGCGACAATAAAGGGCCGCAACTTGCCAAGTCAAGATGATCAGCAATGCTCCAGCATTCGTATTCCTATTTTCGTCGCGCGTCCAGTGAGACTATGTTCCAGATAGATCCGCACGTAACTCGTTCACCATGTTTACAGCCAGGTGGCCAGGACGGCAAGCAGCTGCCACTCTACAGCGAATAGGTATCCTCTGCTACTATCTAGTACCGGTATCCGTGTAATGGTCATCTCCGGTCAGGGCATGACAATCAGATTCAGTTCAACGGGATGCTTATAGGCCTCGACCAAATATGCTAAAAAAAAGAGCATATTATGCTCGTCGCATATCAGGGAAAACGTCCATAATATGCCAAAGGCGTAGCAAGATATGCCAAAAGATATGCCAAAATATGCTCGACATAAGCAGAAAGTGTAGATCATTTCAGTAAAATTACAACCTTGGAATATTCACTGGCTACACGGCTATCATGCTTATGGTGCAAATCAAAACACAAAGCTAATCACTGCAAGAAAAAGAACAAATCTCAAAGTCTTCACCACGCCGAAAACTGGTTCATCCTGATGATTCGAAGTATTGATGATGGCCAGAGACAGAGTCCATAAACTGTTTTTGCATTCTTGATGATGGTAGTGACTTGTTCTTTTCCTTGCAGTAAAATCATTGTGAAATAGGAGAAGGACAAAATGTTACGAGTTATGACTAACGTAACATTTTGTCCTTCTCCTATTTCACCATAATTTAATTGGCTCAGCATCCGAGTTAAAATCATTGTGTTTGGACAAAAAAACTTGGGTTTGAAACTACACTCATACCTCTCTTATCCGGGCGCTTCGGGACCGGACACTGCCCGTAACTTCGAGGGTGCCCGTAACTCCGAATCATATACATCTTGATGGGGAAAAGGCCATCGATATGGCATATGACGTCAATATTTCTACGAAAAGTGACAAAAGAGTAGTAATATTTCCCCTGAAACTCGCCCAAATAGTGCCCGGTAGACCGGAGTGCCCGTAACTTCGAAGGCCGGATAACCGAGGTATGAGTGTAATACCGTACTTGTGTAACTCAAAAATAGATTCCATTTTTTTTGAATTTCAAATGTTATAACTAAATCTGAAACAGGAGATTGGCGTCTATTGCGCAGAATTGTAAAAGATTCTCCAAGGAAAAATAGCAGCCATCACTGTACTTCTAGACTAATACTTCGAGTCAATCAAATAATTATATTGCCTCTGAAAATATTATACTAGACGAGCGGATTCTTGAATTAGTGTACTTGAAAAATAATTCTCCAATTCTCTATTGAAAAAGTAACTGCATACACTATGATTGTAAAAGTAAAGACAGGACATGATTGTATTACTATTGGCTCATGATGCGGGTCTCAATTCAAATGTAACGGAACTTCAACCCCCATGCACACAGATCGACTGGAGCATTTAATGCGTATTGCGCTTGACCCAGGTTCATTTCACCCCCCCCCCCCACCCAGGGGAGAGGTGAAATCAAGAAATCGTACTACTGTACATATGTGTGTATTTTGCGATAGGTTTGCACAGCGCTGCGCGAGTAAATTCCCTGCCAACGTAGTGCACAGAACTCTGGAGATGGTCTTTTGTTGGCATATCAGTAATCGACCGGGTCATCTCTTCGTGTAAACTTTCACCAACAGCACATTCTTTTAACCAACTTCGAAAATTTACTCGGACTACATGTAACACATTTCCTTCTATAATATTTTAAAGTGTGCTGGCATATGAACTAAACATTGCTTGTAAGGCTATTCATGCCACCCCTAGATAAAGCGCAATACGTGTATTGTGTTGTGTAGTAGAAACCAGTGAAATAACTGCCCTAGTTTGCACAGCTGCATATAGTAGAACAGCCCTGGGTTGCGCGGCTGCAGTAGAGCAGCCCTGGGCTGCACAGCTGAAGTAGAACAGCCCTGGGTTGCGTGGCTGCAGTAGAATAGCCCTGGGTTGCGCAGCTGAAGTGGAACAGCCCTGGGTTGCGCAGCTGTAATGACACTACAACCACCAGGATGGTCACAGAATGTGGCTCTGCTCTATGTCCTATTCACACCATCAGTTTCCCCTCGCCGCCAGTGTGCTGCATGGGAAAGATTAGAACTTGCGATGCTTGATCAGAGCAGGCCTTTGTGTTCTTCTTGCGACTGGCATTATTCGGTGTGGCATAGCTGCTCTTCACAATCTGCTTAGCATGATCAATACTGTCTGGTGTTGCATAGCTGCTCTTCACAACCTGCTTAGCATGATCAATACCGTCTGGTGTGGCATAGCTGCTCTTCACAGCCTTCTTAGCATGATCAATACGGTCTGGTGTGGCATAGCTGCTCTTCACAACCTTCTTAGCATGATCAATACCGCCTGGTGTGGCATAGCTGCTCTTCACAACCTTCTTAGCATGATCAATACCGTCTGGTGTTGCATAGCTGTAATCATCAGACTGGCGGAGGCTGTCTGTAGTATGATTGATGCCATCTGGTTGTGCTGGCTGTGAGTAGACGCATCCTTGTTTGGTCACTTCATTGAACAGCTTGCTAACAACTGCATGCTCTGCGCGTGGAGACGCAGGGGCAGTCAGCTTATCAGCACCACTGTCTCCTTGCTTGTCGGAGGACTGCTGAGTACGTTCTGGTTCCGAGTAAGCATACTGTCCTCTTCCCTCCACTTCACCTGCAACCTGACACATGTAAGTTGCTATTGTACTGGCAGGGACGCTGGGGCTTACAGCTACAGTTGGTCGCTGTACAAATTTCTTTTCACCGTGATTTAGGTCACTTACTTCATGCGCAGCACTTTCAGCTTGGCTGTTTCTACTCACACTTGGCGTTGGCTTGGGGACAGGTAGGCCGGGTTGCTGAAGACAAGAACTAGCAGGCAGAGAGTCGTATTCATGCTGCCCTGCTTGATTGGCAATCACCAGACTATTGTGGTCAGTGCAGCTATCTCTGCTAAGAACATCGTATAGGTTACTATCGCATTCTGAAGGATTAGTCTGAAGTCTATCAGGTCTAGCATACATCTCTCCCTCGCTGTCTGGTTGTTGGTGATCACCGGCATCAAAACGACTCATCATGATATTATCATATGTATCCTCATCAGGCGCAGTGGCTGCTGCTCTTTCCTTGCGGGGCGATAATCCATATCTGTTGTCATATTCTCCACTAATGTGACTCCCTCTGGAACCAGGCATACTACCGTACGCAATCACATACGTATCACCAGCGCTGGGCACTGATTCTATGGACTTGCTACCGCGGTAGCGACCATCGTGCCCACTCTTGCCAACTGCTTCTTCTCCTCTGGCACTAGGCGTACTCAGTGTGTCGTATCTATCACCCCCACCACCGCTGGGTAATGACATAACCGTGGGCTTGTTATTGCCCGAGTTGCCGTCATGCACAGTCTTGTCACTAGTGCCTTCCTCTTTGCTTTCACAAGATGCTGCCTCAGTCACCTTGTCTTTGGTTATGTTATTCAGGGTAACGTCGCCAACCTGATAGTTGGATGAGAGTGTCCATTTAACTTTACCAAGCCTTCCAGGTTTCGACTTCTTGCTGCTGGACCCTGAAAACAGACAGAAAATGAGTGATAAGTGAAGAGACAGAAGATAGACTTGCTCATCATCAAACTGATTTCTGTTTTAAAAGCGTACAAGTAAGTAAGACTGGGATAAGGCAAACTGTCGGATTAGACAGGGAATTATCCAAATGACAAGAAGTAGTTTTCTAAACTTTTCATACACACATTGATATGTTACTAGTGATAAGCTGAGAGAAGATGAACCCTTGGCTAAGATATTCAAAACGCAAAAACTCAGTTAGACAAGGTTTTGATCTGCAATGGCCTTTATTACTCCATCTAGCAAAAAGCTTTGTTACGACTATCGTCAAGAGTATATAACCCCCCAAGAGTGTGCAAATCTGCATATGGGGTCTCCGACGGCGAAAACTCACATCACGTGTCTCAGATACGTTCGCACTACGTACCAACGAAGACTAGCGGGCGCGCAATCCGCACGTCTGCCATGATCATGCTGGGGATTTGCATACCCGCAGTGAGTTTCTGTCAGAGAGTGCTTTTTCTTTTACTCCGCTGCTCGCTAAAAACGGGCTGGAAACGTACAACTGCGACACTGCACCACGTGATGTGAGTTTCGGTCGCCGGTGTACCCCATAGAAAGGGTATCAGGAGTTGGACACTCTTGGGGGGTTATTATACCCTTGCTATCGTCAAGCCCAATAACCTTGGAGTTCAGGTACGTTCCACATCATTGGACCTCAGCTGCCATAACTAGACAAACTAAAGTGGCCCGCAAACAGTGGCTAGCTCCTGTCTCTTACCTGCTAGTACTTGAGAATATCTCTGATGGTGTTTTTCTCCCATTCCATCTATCAACTCAGTGCAACTTAATCCAGCTCCTTGGATTCCCTCTTTCGTACGTTTCCTGCTCATCAAGGCACAAGCACACATTAGAACGTATTGATCAAGATGTCACTCAAATGTACACTCCTTGATGTTTGCAAGTGCCACAAATGGAGGTTATAACTGAACGGATTGATCAAAGTTCAGCACAGAGTCTCAAGCTTACCGCTTTCGGTGACGAGCTGCGATTACGATGATAATGATCAGCAGGATGAGAGCCAAGCCTCCAGCACCTATTCCCACATACACTGACAAGGGAAAAAGAGAAACGAAAGCAGGCACATAATTAAATATCTTATCCAGAGACTGTTGAAAAGTACAACTTTAAAAAACAAGATGATGCGGAGGTCAGTGAATCGAGTTATAACATGTATACAGAGCAGCTGTTGCCAGCCAATCAGTACACACCAGACAGAAGATCCCATACCTTGCATTCCAAGACCAGCCGAGAATGCCTTTTGATTGCCATTGCCTGCGTATGTGTGGCACAACCAGAAGAGCACGGTTACGAATAATAAAACACACACAACTGAGACTTTGATCTTTGACGCTAAGGCCAAGGGATGCAATACGGTGTGGAAAACTGATTTCACCGTAAGTATAAATTATGAAGAAGGCCTTGAGGCCTTGCATGTGTGAATTCTTGCCATGTGTCAAAGTTCAACGCGTGTGAAGGCCTTGCATTCCATTCAGGGAGCACCACTGTTCAAGTAGCAGTTGTTATTTTCGGCTGAGAATGATTCTAGTCATGTAGCCGAACACAGGTGTTCTACAGGAAGACACTTCGATTGTTGACAGCTGTTAAAATGCTGCTCTTCTCTCACAAAAACACTTGGTTGCACATAGTTGTGCTCTGCTCTGTTGTGCCCTGCGATAATCACTGTTGTGTAGTACAGGCCTAAGTGTTGTGTAGTACAGGCCTAAGGCTAAACTGTTACATACATGTCATGCGGAGACCGTCATGCTACCGACCTGAGCAACCGTCTCTGCTTGCATCCACTGTGCACTTGTCCACGCAGGAGTACGATCCGATGGAGTTGACACAAGATAGAGTGGATGGCTGACAAGGGCTGAAAATGCATTCGTTAACATCTGAAAAGGAGAGATGGAATGGAAGACGTAATCAAGAGCACGATCCACTAGGTGATTGAACGTGAACACAGCTTCCTCTTTCTGCCTCTGCCTCTGCGTCTCTCTCTCTCTCTCTCCCTCTCTCTCTCTCTCTCTCTCTCTCTCTCTCTCTCTCTCTCTCTCCCTCTCTCTCTCTCTCTCTCTCTCTCTCTCTCTCTCTCTCTCTCTCTCTCTCTCTCTCTCTCTCTCTCTCTCTCTCTCTCGCACGCGTGGAATGGAAGACAATTATCTCACCTAAAGCCCTTTGCCCTGGAATTTAGTTTATGTCCACTTGTGTGCCCATACAAGAACATTTTTGCGCATTCAAAAATTAAATTTAAAAAGAAAGGACTAAAATGTTACACTCACGTTATCCTTAGTTTGGAAATAAAAAAATTGTGGGAAATAAAATAAAATAAATCGCTCGCTCGCACCGATTTTCACAGGCTCATGACATGAGAATCAACTTTATTTTTTACCATGGCCTAACGAATAGCGAAAGTTAATTCCAAACAAAAATTTGTACTTACACAGTAGTCAGAAGGTACAACAGCTAGCACAATACTGACGGATGTGATACTGACATTCAACGACCTGATGATAAGCTCTATCACGTCTTGGATGTGCAAACCAACAGCCTTCCAACTTGGAAGGTTCTAAGTTATGAAATAACATGAGAAAGGGGACATCTTGCAACATCTTGCTTATAACTGTTACTGTTAGTGTTAGACACAAACTACGGATAACATGTAACATTTTGGTACTGTCTTTTTAAATTTAATTCTTCGCTCTCCATCCGAGTCAAATATTAAAATTATTAATTTGGATTTCTAGAGAGGAGATACCGGTACGGTAACATTCACTATACTTCAGTCATAGCTGCTTATTGCTTATGTTGTGATATTCCAGCAAAACTCTCTCATATCAATAAGTGAGAAACTTCAACCACGTATGCAGATGTAAATAATTATATGGAAATAATCACTCTCACCTGTACAAGTTACCAGGGCATTGCCAGTGAATCCAATTCGACATTGACATACTGCTGTCGTGCGGTTGCATTCTGTTGTGTTGGAATGACTGCACTCACCAGCACATGCATCACCAGCTGGAAAGAGAAGACCGCGCACAAGACAAGATTGGGAATGGCCGCTCTTTACCTCATCGTATACTTAGTTTGCAGAATGAATGTGCTTGACCCACGCTGCACGCCAGTAAAGGCGTTTCAGGGCAGGGCTTGCGCTCTTGATTGCTCTCCATCCGCCATTTCACTCTACTTGCTCGAATGAACCCCAAATGTTGTGTAGTCATTCGCGGGAGTCTTAGTTTGAATTTGAAAGAGTGTATCCTTGCCAACAGTTGACGTGATCAGGGAAACTCTCGCCCGTTGAATCACATGTCACTGCGACTATAACTCTTATGCAATCTTAATAAATATGTCATGCTCAAAGCTTCTACAAAAATAGCTTCTTTTTCTTGACTTACGTAGGCATGTCGGTGGGGTTCCAATCCATGTTCCATTTGGTGCACATTGCACTGTTGCATTGCTGACATTCTGTTCAGCATAACCAGCTACATAATACCCCACATCACATTGGTATGTCACTATACCAGGGTATACCAGCTCTTGGCTCAATATGGAACTATTTGCCAGAGCAAGTGGTGGAGCCACACATGTTATACCTGAAGAAGAAAAAAAACAGGAGCAAAAACAAACAAAAGCGATATTTTGTGAGACCAATTATTTGATTGACTGATTAGGAATTGTTATGCTCTGCTCTTGTAGATACAAATATGCGGCTGCCCAAATAACGTTAGCTCTCTCTAACCTGGAAAATGGGTAAGAGAGGGAGGAAGAAAAGGAGAAGAGTAAGTAAGGAAAAAGAAGAAGCAAACCAAAACTAGATTGGAGTAAGGAGGAGGAGAGTTCAGACACACAAAGCATGATAAATCAAAGGGAGAATAACGACAGGGGGATAGCAGCGTAGTATCTACCGTATTTTACCGGTTGTAAGTCGACCCCGGTTATAGGTCGGCCCCCGTATCCGGAGGTCTCAATTCTGCGTTTTAAAGTGTTCACCCAAAGAGGCACTTCTAAACACATCCTGCTACTAACACATTAACAAATCATACAGACATTCCCTTTTTGGAGGGTATAACGTCCCAATCCTTGGAAAATGCCAAAAAAATGGCCAACCTGCATGTGTGTACACATGGTGCACTCGTGCATGCAGTGCAGGTCATTTTGTGTTAGATACTGATAGTTCCCGGTTATAAGTCGAATCCCGGTTGTAAGTCGACCCCCACCCTTTCTCCTTCCATTTTTAGTCGTAAAAGGTCGACTTACAAGCGGAAAATACGGTAATCAATAACTTGACAGTGGAACTTATTTAAACCGCTAGGGGCGGGCTTGCTTTTTAAAATCATACAGGGAGGATAAGAATGAAAGAGGACAAATATCGTCCATGGCTTGTATTTATCAGCTTGTTCAATGAAATGAATAACTTTGAAAAGTATTCACTCTTCTGGCTCTGGGCAATCACAACACTTCTGCCAGTCAACCTCTAAAACAATACCGGCATCAGCAATCTAAAAGGCACAAGTGGTGATTTATCTTGCATTGCCAGCGGATTGCTTTTAAAACAGACTTACGCTTGCAAGTTGGAACTGGAGCACTCCAAGAGCCGTTCAAAAGACAGTGCATTGTTACTGATGTCACAGAGAAATTTGCTGCTGAAGATATAAAGAATCCATGTTGACATGTGTATGTCCTGTTGTTAGTATATTCCAGACCAACTGATAGTACACGTACACTGCCATTTAGATGGGTGTTGGGTAGGTCAGGACACATGATAGCTGCAGTGAAGATCAGGACGGCAAACAGGTAGTGTGGTGACCAACTCACACATAATCTGGGTACAATTGGAGGACATTAAGGGTATGATCAATGTCTTGTCCAACGTATTTATTAATCCCTTACTATTTGGCTCCCTGCAATGCTTTTAACCCTTTATTGTCCGCACTCAATGTATATGTACAGAAAATTGCATCGTGCTAATTTTGATCTTGAATTGAACGTAGTTTTGGTTTCCCTTGGACCATCGTTATCATCTGTGGCATCCTGGAAAGCTCATAATGAGAGGAAGAACGTGAATCCAAAGTCAATCCCATAGGGTGCGCTTGACTCACTCTAAAAGCCAGCGAATGCATTTCAGCGCGGGGCTTGCGCTCTCGATCGATCTCCATCCGCCATTTCACTCTCCTTGCTTGAGTGAAGCTCAAATGTTTTGTAGTGACTTACGGGAGTCTTAGTTTGAATTTGAAAGGGTGTATCCTTGCCAACAGTTGACGTGATCAGGGAAACTCTCGCCCGTTGAATCACATGTCACCATGGTCACTGCGACTATGAAACTTATGCAATCTATACAAAACATTCATGCTCAAAACTTCTACAAAAAAATAGTTTCTTTCTCTTGACTTACGTAGGCATGTCGGTGGGGTTCCAATCCATGTTCCATTTGGTGCACATTGCACTGTTGCATTGCTGACATTCTGTTCAGCATAACCAGCTACATAATAGCCCACATCACATTGGTATGTCACTATACCAGGGTACACCAGCTCTTGGCTCAATATGGAACTATTTGCCAGGGCAGGTGGTGGAGCTACACATGTTATACCTGAAGAAATAAACAGGAGTAAGAACAAACAAAAACGATAATTATCTTGTGAAAGCAATTATTTGATTGACTGATTAGGAATTGTTATGCTCTGCTCTTGTAGATACAAATACAGTCAAACCTCGCATAACCGCACAAATCCGTTTTCCACAAAAATATCCGGATAGGCGAGGGAACCGGATAATCGAACACACATACTGTATGTAAGCATGGCATATGCTGTACATTTGTAACCAACGATTTTCTTCCGGATGGCGAGGGATCCGGATAAACGAGGACCGGATAAGCGAGGTCTGACTGTATGCGGCTGCCCACATAACGTTAGCTCTCTCTAACCTGGAAAATTGGTAAGAGAGGGAAAGAAGAAAAGGAGAAGAGTCAGTAAGGAAAAAGAAGAAGCAAACCAAAACTAGATTGGAGTAAGAAGGAGGAGAATTCAGGCACACAAAGCATGATAAATCAAAGGGAGAAGAACGATAGGGGGATAGCAGCGTAGTAAGGAAGAAAGAGAGTGGACAAATATCTTCCATGGCGGGTAATTACCAGCTTGTTCAATCAAATGAATAACTTTGAAAAACACTCACTCTTCTGACTCTGGGCAATCATAACATTCCTGCCAGTCAACCTCTAAAACAATACCGGCATCAGCAATCTAAAAGGCACAAGTGGTGATATATCTTGCATTGCCAGTAGATTGCTTTTAAAACAGACTTACGCTTGCAAGTTGGAACTGGAGCACTCCAAGAGCCGTTCAAAAGACAGTGCATTGTTACTGATGTCACAGAGAAATTTGCTGCTGAAGATATAAAGAATCCATGTTGACATGTGTATGTCCTGTTGTTAGTATATTCCAGACCAACTGATAGTACACGTACACTGCCATTTAGATGGGTGTTGGGTAGGTCAGGACACATGATAGCTGCAGTGAAGATCAGGACGGCAAACAGGTAGTGTGGTGACCAACTCACACATAATCTGGGTACAATTGGAGGACATTAAGGGTATGATCAATGTCTTGTCCATCATATTTATTAATCCCTTATTATTTGGCTCCCTGCAATGCTTTTAACCCTTTATTGTCCGCACTCAATGTATATGTACAGAGAATTGCATCGTCCTAATTTTGATCTTGAATTGAACGTGGCTTTGGTTTCCCTTGGACCATCGTTATCATCTTTGGCATCCTGGAAAGCTCATGATGAGAGGAAGAACGTGAATCCAAAGTCAACCATAGGGTGCGCTTGACTCGCTCTGCAAGCCAGAGAATGCATTTCAGCACGGGGCTTGCGCTCTCGATCGATCTCCATCCGCCATTTCACTGCTGTGCCCAGATGTTCTTGACACGCTTTCTCTGTCTTGACTCATTCGTCAGACATGTGCATTTTGATCTTTTGGTTTGGTCTCTAATCGACAAACTGACTTTTCTCCTCAAATACCTCAACTTCTCTATTTCTATTTCATACATCTGCTTCGTTTATTCCTTACTCTTTTCTTTCTATCTTTTTCTTTTCTTTCCCTTGTCATTTAATCAATGTCACTCACATACAAATACCGTCATAAAATATAAAACACAAGATTTTCTCATCTTTTTCTATTTTTTGTTTTTCATTAGCTTTAGCATGTTCATTCACATTCTTCATCATTTGTGAGAACTAGACCTGGTCTAGTGAGAAGGCATTCTACTGCCTGTAATTCTGGTAAAGTAAAATAAAGTAACAACAACAACAACTCTCCTTGCTTGAGTGAAGCTCAAATGTTTTGTAGTGACTTACGGGAGTCTTAGTTTGAATTTGAAAGGGTGTATCCTTGCCAACAGTTGACGAGATCAGGGTAAATCTCGGCCGTTGAGTCACACGTTAATATCACTATAAGTCTTATGCAATCTTTATAAAAATGTCATGCTCAAAGCTTCTACAAAAATAGTTACTTTCTCTTGACTTACGTAGGCATGTCGGTGGGGTTCCAATCCATGTTCCATTTGGTGCACATTGCACTGTTGCATTGCTGACATTCTGTTCAGCATAACCAGCTACATAATACCCCACATCACATTGGTATGTCACTATACCAGGGTATACCAGCTCTTGGCTCAATATGGAACTATTTGCCAGGGCAGGTGGTGGAGCCATACATGTTATACCTGAAGCAAAAAAATAACAGGAGTAAGAGCAAACAAAAACGATATATTGTGGGAGCAATTACTTGATTGACTGATTTTTAATTTTTATGCTCTGCTCTTGTAGATACTAATATGCGGCTGCCCAAACAACGTTAGCTCTCTCTAACCTGGAAAATTGGTAAGAGAGGGAGGAAGCAAAGGAGAAGAGTAAGAAAGGAAAAAGAAGAAGCATACCAAAACTAGATTGGAGAAAGAAGGAGGAGAATTCAGGCACACAAAGCATGATAAATCAAGGGGAGAAGAACGATAGGGGGATAGCAGCGTAGTACTTAATCAATAACTTGACAGTGGAAACTTATTTAAACAGATGGCGACGGGCTTGCTTCTTAAAATCAGACAGGGAGGCTAAGGAAGAAAGAGAGTGGACAAATATCGTCCACAGCGGGCAATTACCAGCTTGTTCAATGAAATGAATACCTTTGAAAAGTACTCACTCTTCTGACTGTGTGCAGTCACAACATTCCTGCCAGTCAACCTCTAAAACAATGCCGGCATCGGCAATCTAAAAGGCACAAATGGTGATTCATTTCGTATTGCCAGGACATTGCTTTTAAAACAGACTTACGTTTGCAAGTTGGAACCGGAGCACTCCAAGAGCCGTTCAAAAGACAATGCATTGTTACTGATGTCACAGAGAAATTTGCTGCTGAAGATATAAAGAATCCATGTTGACATGTGTATGTCCTGTTGTTAGTATATTCCAGACCAACTGATAGTACACGTACACTGCCATTTAGATGGGTGTTGGGTAGGTCAGGACACATGATAGCTGCAGTGAAGATCAGGACGGCAAACAGGTAGTGTGGTGACCAACTCACACATAATCTGGGTACAATCAGAGTACATTAAGGGTATGATCAATGTCTTGTCCATCATATTTATTAATCCCTTATTATTTGGCTCCCTGCTATGCTTATAACCCTTTATTGTCCGCACTCAATGTATATGTACAGAGAATTGCATCGTCCTAATTTTGATCTTGAATTGAACGTGGCTTTGGTTTCCCTTGGACCATCGTTATCATCTTTGGCATCCTGGAAAGCTCATGATGAGAGGAAGAACGTGAATCCAAAGTCAATCCCATAGGGTGCGCTTGACTCGCTCTGCAAGCCAGCGAATGCATTTCAGCGCGGGGCTTGCGCTGGCGATCGATCTCCTTCCGCCATTTCACTCGCCTTGCTTGAGTGAAGCTCAAATGTTTTGTAGTGACTTACGGGAGTCTTAGTTTGAATTTGAAAGGGTGTATCCTTGCCAACAGTAGACGAGTTCAGGGTAAATCTCGACCGTTGAGTCACACGTTAACCCTTTACCGGTCTACCATAAGCGAACCGATACTATAGTATCGGTACGTTTGGCCCTCATTTTTTGGGGGTCTTGTTGCTAGGAGACAGCTAAAATGGCGCTCTACGCGTAGCTGAGGTCCAAGGCTTTCTGACGATGTACAAAACAACCATGCTTACCATACAAATTTTTGCCGTATCGATCGACTGAAGTTTGTTGAAATTGGAAAAGACGACCATCCGCCATGCGTACATTTAGAGAATGCGAGTGCATCTCTTGGGGCCGTGTTTGACAAGCGTTCTGAGAGCAGTAACACCACCAGTCCAGCCTGGATCTCCCGGGAGGTTTTGCAGTGTAGTGTGTTGAGAAAAAAAGCTCCGTTGAGTCCTGCTAGTTCAAAAATATATCGTCCACGAATGAAGAAACAAAATTCTCCAAACAGAGAGGAAGCCTTCTTGCTGCCGACACGGCGACAGCGACTGTCACAAGGACTCGTCAGGTGTGATCAGCTGATTCGCCTGGTCGTGAGAATCACGGCATGCGTAAGCTCGCGCCTAAGTGCTCATCTGAGCGAGAGTGAATCTGACGCGAGCAGCGCTGAGATGAACAAACCGAAGCTGCGATATCGTGGAATGGGAATTGCTGCTGCTGGCGTATCGCCGATGGCGAGGTGTTGGTGTTCAATGGCGGTATTGTAAAGAGCCTACATTTCTTGTAAAGACGTAGCCCTTACCTGATTGTTTATCGTACGACTTCAGCTCCATCACGAACTTGGTATGCCCTTCGTGCTGTGATATTCGTGTATTTCATTCGCAATTGTATTTTCTCTCAACTTGAAGGGCTACCATGGGCCCTATCCTTGCTTGGACCTAGTCATATTTGAATTTTCTGGACGCGTTCAGGCATACAGATTTTGAAAATATATGGTTTACCCATACCTACATCACATGGTTCTTGAGTTATTGCTGGTTGTGTGTACATGTATTTGCGTGACCACCCCTCACATAAATTGAGTTAGACCGGCAAAGGGTTAAAATGACTATAAGTCTTATGCAATCTTAATAAAAATGTGATAATACTCATAAAACGGACACACTTCAGGCTCATTACAAACATCTTGAAAGTTTTTGTCTTCACAAGTATACTTTCAAGCCTTCTCATCAGGTGAAATACAACCTTTGCAAGCAGAAACAAATCAAATTCACACTTAGGCTGTTAGGTAGGTCGTCAAAACCTCGTTAGTTACATGTATGTCCAGTGGTTGTCTCTTGTTGTCGCACTACATGTCGCGCTTATTGAGTTTTCTCGCATTTGCACCTTTGTGTCATTATTGCAATTTTCGCTGTTTACTTTAGCTATCTTCTTTCTTTCTTTCTTTCTTTTTGCGCTGTTTTACCACCTTCTTACTGTATTTAATCCACTGTTCCTGTTCCTTTTCCCTTGCCTATATTTCACCTGATGAGAAGGCTTGAAAGTATACTTGTGAAGACAAAAACTTTCAAGATGTTTGTAATGAGCCTGAAGTGTGTCCTTTTTATGAGTATTATCGCATTTTCGTCTCAGAGGAAACTGTTAATAAAAATGTCATGCTCAAAGCTTCTACAAAAATATTTTCTTTCTCTTGACTTACGTAGGCATGTCGGTGGGGTTCCAATCCATGTTCCATTTGGTGCACATTGCACTGTTGCATTGCTGACATTCTGTTCAGCATAACCAGCTACATAATACCCCACATCACATTGGTATGTCACTACACCAGGGTACACCAGCTCTAGGCTCAATATGGAACTATTTGCCAGGGCAGGTGGTGGAGCCACACATGTTATACCTGAAGAAAAAAAAACAGGAGCAAAAACAAACAAAAGCGATATCTTGTGAGAGCAATTGTTTGATTGACTGATTTCGAATTGTTCTGCTATGCTCTTGTAGATACAAATAAGCGGCTGCCCACATAACATTAGCTCTCTCTAACCTGGAAAATTGGTAAGAGAGGGAGGAAGAAAAGGAGAAGAGTAAGTAAGGAAAAAGAAGAAGCAAACCAAAACTAGATTGGAGTAAGGAGGAGGAGAATTCAGACACACAAAGTATTATAAATCAAAGGGAAAATAACGACAGGGGGTTAGCAGCGTAGTATCTACCGTATTTTACCAGTTATAGGTCGGCCCCCGTATCCGGAGGTCTCAATTCTGCGTTTTAAAGTGTTCACCCAAAGAGGCACTACTAACCACCTCCTGCTACTAACACATTAACAAATCATACAGACATTCCCTTTTAGAGGGTATAACGTCCCAATCCTTGAAAAATGCCAGAAAAAACTGGCAAAACTACATGTATGTGTACACATGGTGCACTCGTGCATGCAGTGCAGGTCATTTTGTGTAAGATACTGATAGTTCCCGGTTATAAGTCGAATCCCGGTTGTAAGTCGACCCCCACCCTTTCTCCTTCCATTTTTAGTCGTAAAAGGTCGACTTTACAAGCGGAAAATACGGTAATCAATAACTTGACAGTGGAACTTATTCAAACAGCTGGGGACGGGCTTGCTTCTTAAAATCAGACAGGGAGGATAAGAATGAAAGAGGACAAATATCGTCCATGGCTTGTATTTATCAGCTTGTTCAATGAAATGAATAACTTTGAAAAGTACTCACTCTTCTGACTCTGGGCAATCACAACACTTCTGCCAGTCAACCTCTAAAACAATACCGGCATCAGCAATCTAAAAGGCACAAGTGGTGATTTATCTTGCATTGCCAGCGGATTGCTTTTAAAACAGACTTACGCTTGCAAGTTGGAACTGGAGCACTCCAAGAGCCGTTCAAAAGACAGTGCATTGTTACTGATGTCACAGAGAAATTCGCTGCTGAAGATATAAAGAATCCATGTTGACATGTGTATGTCCTGTTGTTAGTATATTCCAGACCAAATGACAGTACACGTACACTGCCATTCTCCAGGGTGTTGGGTAGGTCAGGACACATGATAGCTGCAGTGAAGATCAGGACGGCAAACAGGTAGTGTGGTGACCAACTCACACATAATCTGGTTACAATTGGAGGACATTAAGGGTATGAACAATGTCTTGTCCATCATATTTATTAATCCCTTACTATTTGGCTCCCTGCAATGCTTTTAACCCTTTATTGTCTGCACTCAATGTATATGTACAGAGAATTGCATCGTCCTAATTTTGATCTTGAATTGAACGTAGCTTTGGTTTCCCTTGGACCATCGTTATCATCTTTGGCATCCTGGAAAGCTCATGACGAGAGGAAGAACGTGAATCCAAAGTCAATCCCATAGGATGCGCTTGACTCGCTCTGCAAGCCAGCGAATGCATTTCAGCGCGGGGCTTGCGCTCTCGATCGATCTTCATCCGACATTTCACTCTCCTTGCTTGAGTGAAGCTCAAATGTTTTGTAGTGACTTACGGGAGTCTTAGTTTGAATTTGAAAGGGTGTATCCTTGCCAACAGTTGACGAGATCAGGGTAAATCTCGGCCGTTGAGTCACACGTTAATACGACTACCGTATTTCCACAAATAGTAGGCCGGTCTACTATTTTTTCAACCTCATCCTAACCCGGCCTTATAATCGAGGACGGTCTTGTATTCGAGGACGGTCTTTTATTCTTTCAACCCAGTTTGACCCCGGTCTTCTATTTTTCGCCACACAGTTTTACCCCCATTCTTCCATTTTCTTCTACACAGTTTGAGCACGGTCTTCTACTTTTACCCACAGTTTGAGCACGGTCTTCTATTTTTAACACAAGTTTGAGACTCATTTAGTAGGCCCGGTCTTCTAATCGGAGACGGTCTTTTATTTTTTCAATCGCCCCCTGCCCCGGTCTTGTATACGAGGAAGGCGTTGTATACGAGGACGGCCTTTTATTTGCGGAAATACGGTATATCACTTATGCAATCTTAATAACAAATGTCATGCTCAAAGCTTCTACAAAAACAGTTTCTTTCTCTTGCCTTACGTAGGCATGTCGGTGGGGTTCCAATCCATGTTCCATTGGGTGCACATTGCACTGTTGCATTGCTGACATTCTGTTCGGCATAACCAGCTACATAATAGCCCACGTCACATTGGTATGTCACTATACCAGGGTACACCAGCTCTTGGCTCAATATGGAACTATTTGCCAGGGCAGGTGGTGGAGCCATACATGTTATACCTGAAGAAAAACATAACAGGAGTAAGAGCAAACGAAAACGATATCTTGTGAGAGCAATTGATTAATGACTGATTTGGAAATTGATTTGGAAATGACAATGATGAGTAAACTCCAATGCAGCATCAGACATAGTAATGGTGGTTATACACACCAGGAACAATGGCTATACATACACACCTGCCTGCACAACGCCCCTCTCTAAGTTTCAAAGTTCTGTCAAAGAGTGCTCTTTCTCCTACCACTATCATCACTAAGTCTTTGTGCATGGCGCCTAGTTGATGTATAGCTGGAGACATCGGCATAGCTGACTGGTACATCAGTTAAGGCAGAGGCAAACCATCACCACTCCAGTGCCTGTGTGCCAGGCAGCTATGCCAATATCTCCAGCTATGCATCGACTAGGTGCCATGCACAAAGTGATGATAGCGGTAGGAGAAGGCCTAATCAGGATTTGACCGAACTTTACAGGTTAGAGAGATCTATGTGGACAGCCGTGTATGTACCGCCATTTATCCAGGTGTGTGTTACCACAGCTAACTTTGCCTACTGACTGGGTAGCTAATCCAAAAGGGACCCTCCTAAGGGCCGGGTTCCACTGCAGCTCCGCTGCACTTGGCTGCATGCAGCGGAGCAGCGCGGTTCCACTGACACTCGCCATTCGCGGTACCGCGGTCGTGCTTCACGTTTTTGATGACGTTCTAACTGCCTGCGTGCGCGCGTGCGCAAAATAAAAAATCCTCGTCTTCTGGCCTACACAAGGAAATAAAATTTGAATTTTAAAATTCTCGTCTACAAAACAATGAAAAGTACGGGAAACATGTCGAGCCGCAACCGCGGCTCGCAGTTTTTGATCACGAATCGTAGCAAAAGTTAGCGATGAGCCGCGGCCTTGCTGCTCCAGCTCGAGCCGCGGTCACTATGGTAATGATGACGTTTCAAGCCGTGGATGATGAGCAGCGGAGCAGCGGAGCCGCAGTGGAACCCGGCCCTTATCAGTCAATGAAAACTGGATGGATCTAGCCTGATCCCAACCGGCTCCAGTGGATTATAAAACTAACATGGTTCCAATTCCAGTAGAAGAAGTATGATTAGGGTGCTGCAGAATGTGAGACCGGATGTGAAGCGTACAAATAAAAAACTAAACTTGGTAAGTGTACAGCAGTTAAATTTGAAGTATTTTTCTTTGAGTTTGGTCACCATACCATTTTGAATCCACTAGCAGTGGAAAGTATGAAGTAGTCCAATAAGTGTGCACTATTCATCACAGCCACAGCGAGTCACTGTTAGGGCGCGTTCAGACTACCGATAAAAAGTGACCGATTGGGAAAGTCGCCAAGGTGATTTGATCACGTGACGTTACTGGCACGTTACCGGTGGGAAAGTTTTACTGCCGCGGCTGCTGCGGCAGTAAACTTTTACCGCCAGTAAAAAAGTGCTCAGGCTGTATGCGCGCTGGGAAAAAAGGGAAAATCCCTTGTCAGTGCCGCGGTGAGAGCTGAAAACTTCACGGTAAACGTTAGTTTGTTATTGGTAGTGTGAATGTCCTTCACGGTTTATCGGCATTCACGGTTTGACGGGGTTCACGGTAGTCTGAACGCGCCCTTATGGAGCACTACTGTAGCTTACCTACACATATTGGCTCTGGAGTAGACCAGTGTCTACTGATGAGACATAGTGATGTGTGACTGGTGATACTCTGATTGCTCTGTCCAGAGATGTAGTATCCCGGATTACATTGGTATGTGATATTGCCAGGGTAGAGCACACTGTAATGACTTGTATATCCGTTGACCAGACTACTGTTGCTACTTGTTGCACAGGTTACATTCACTATGGCAGAATAGAATGGAGAGAATAGACCTACAGTCAAGTCATGACTCTACCAGTAGCATAATGTATTTAGGTCAATGGACAACAATTCCGCACGCCAGTGCCATCCATTGAATGACATCATCAGGGAAAGTGTTCTGGAGACCGTCCATACACTCAATGCTTACCATCGCACAGTTCACGGAAGTACAGTTGTGGCAAATGGAATCCGACACTTGGCCTAAGAGACTACACCGTGCAGTGTGCAGCCCCTGGCCTAGTCCCTGCAGCCCTGCATACGTACTACATGTGTTACATACAACTTATATCTGTCTCATGACAGAACTCGTACTCATCACAGTCAAGCTTCACAAGAAAAGTTCAAAGGTGCTGGCAGAAATGAATGGGGACTGGATACCACTACTCCTCATGCGTACCATGTCTCTGAACTGTGTGTATCTACTGGCTGTGACCTTTCGACCTGTTTGGGATGCATACGGCTGTAATGTACAAATTAGGTGCAGCTCATAACGTCATTGATGTCCATTCGTGGCGCTGTCCCCTATGGCAAGTGTTGGATTTCACTTGCCATGACTGTACTAGTATGCCATCACACAATCTCTTGAAGCTTGCACCTCGATTATGCATAGTCGGTCGCCGCATGCAGGACTAGAGAGCGCGGGGAATGAGTCAATGCTTGCCAGTCTTAATTCAAAATCACACCGACACCAGAGCAGCGCAGAAAGTGTGGCCGGCCCAACGGGCTTGCTGCTTCATCACATCTCAGCAGGTCTTGCACTCTTTGCGGATGAAGCCCCCCGCGGCGACTATGAATGTTGAAAGTCTCAATCTGCGTGGCAAGCTCAAGTATGTCGCGTTTCAGCGGCTGAGGTGCTTCGTCAATGTCAGACAGGCTAAACGACGTCAGTGTCAGACAGGCTACACGACCGAGAACTAACAGGCCTGCTCCCTTGGTCAGCCACGTTGCACTGCTAGGATTGTCGTTTTAGGCCGTGGAGCACGTCGCATAACAAACAAGCGAGCAAGCCCCACAAACTCACCACTTCTCGAAATCGTGTCATGGGTAGCCTTTGGTACCTGTGCCTACATGCTGCACCCAACACAAGGCTGCCAGAAATCCCAGGTTGTATCCTCCGTGTCTCAGACAGCATGGACAGGCACAGGAGAGTGTACATGTAGTACATCAGTGAAAGCATTGCATGTGGATATCCACTGACAACAGGACAAAGCTAGCTAAGGGTTGTGGGCAGACAAAGTCTGTGATGAGAACTCAAAAGGGTTTTAAAATGCATTACCTTTTCTTTGGCAAACAACACGCCTGATCCATCCACACTGCAGATTATCCCATTGGTCTCCTTTGCCTTTGTCAGGTACATACCACATTGTTACACAATGCTGAGGTCGCCTTGAATCAGTACTGGGCTCTCCAACTTCCCAATTGGTGTAGTGAACTTCTAGTCTGGCTTCAATGTCCATCCATATGCCATTCAGTTTTCTGATGCCAAGCCATGCGGTGGTGTTAGAGAGCAGGTTACATATGCACGCATCTTCCACAGCATTGCGTGGGATGGCAAGGTAAGCTCCTCCATCCTTGGCCTTGCAGAATGATACTGCCGAGTCGAATGTCATCAAAGTTGAGCCTTGATGCTGATACTCATATGCACTGTTCGCACACTGTGTCCAAGCTGCAAGAGAAGTGATCCCAGGTGTACACACACACACACACACACACACACACACACACACACACACACACACACACACACACACAATTTCCAGGTCATCCATACATCACCCTCCACAATCCCCAGAACTGAAGCAGAATAACAGTCATTCTATCAGCTGTGAAATGCCAGGTCAGTCTGAGCCAACCGTTGGTGGATACTGAATTGTGGATCTATTGTTTCCCTATGCTCGCACGCTCATCTGTGTGTATGTACTCTCATGCATGCGCAGGTGCGCATGTGGGTGTGTGCATTGTGTGTGTGTGTGTGTGTGTGTGTGTGTGTGTGTGTGTGTGTGTGTGTGTGTGTGTGTGTGTGTGAGAGAGAGAGAGAGAGAGAGTGTGTGTGCATTGTGTGTGTGTGTGCATTATGTGTGTGTGTTTGTGTATGTATGTATGTATGTATGTATGTATGTATGTATGTATGTGTGTGTGTGTGTGTTTGTGTGTGTGTGTGTTTGTGTGTGTGTGGGGGGGGGATGTGTCTGTGCGTGGTGCACTCCAATGCGATATCTGCTGCAGATGGTTTGCCAGCGCTGGAGGCCGTGCTTTCCACAAGTGCACCCGCAGTACGATCAGCACCCAAGCTTGCCCGCCCTCATCTAGTCGAGAGTCGATTCTCCTGGACAGTGGCAAACTCCAATGCTCAATGTGCCAACGCCAGTTTTCGCCATCCGGTTTCAAGCGGCACAAATGCAGCCGTGGCAGTCGCCCTACTTGTAAACAGAGGGAAACCTTCGAATATGAGTGCCGTCTCTGCAACAAACGTTTTCGTCTTCCACGAGATCTCAACCGGCATGTGGCTTGCCAGCATTGACTCTCTTACCCTGACTCTGGCTCCCTGTCACAAGGGAGTGACGTGGCCCTATACAGTAAGAAAGTGCAACAACTAGGCACAAAACTGACAGAGTACTGAGACATTCGACGTCCTGACACCTAGCTTCAACACATCTCCGTAGCGCTAACCGACAGCCTTCCAACTAGTTACTTGGAAGGTTCAAGGTTATGGAAAGACCAAAGAGGGAACTAGTTGTTGCACTTTCTGACTGTATATAGTATCTGGTTACAGTGATGGAGAGTTACTCTCAACTCGTATCTATTATTTCCTTTTCCTTTCTACACTTATTATTGGCTCAACATCCGAGTTTCATATTATAATTGTCGTTGTCATTGTTATACGTACCTATTATTGACTGAGTATGGGGCCAATGTAGGAAATAGAAGCCGAGACCGAGGTGAAATCGAGGTCTTTTACGAGGTTTTTATTTCCTATATTGACTTAGTACAAAAGTCAATTTATAGATTTATGACTAGCCAAAGCATGTTTTCAATCCCTCAAATGGAGTCAAAATATAAATAGTCAATACATCCCTAAGGAGTGAAATATACAGGAGTATTTGACTGCTTAGGTATGGCAAAAAGTATGGCAGTCCGGCAATACTAACGGAGTGATCGAGTATAGTACTGTTCATCCACCGCCCCTCTAATTTCTAAGGTCTACATGTATGTCCTACACCATACAGTGTAGACCTACACTACAAACACACAAAATTTAATACAGTGTACAGTCTACAGTGTACATGACTTTTGTATTCATGTAGATACCGACGGACGTACTTACTACTTACCGAATGCCTCTACTTCAGCACGTGGGATAAGCGACAGTAGATTGATGGCCACCAAGACAAGAGCCGTGGAGCTAGCGAGTCGCACTGCCATTACCATTGCTGTTGTCGGCAATTACATACAGCTCTGCTTCCCTACGTGTGCCGGTGTTTGCATTTTCCGAAACTGGCCCCCATCTACACTGTGCTAGCAGCCACCAGCTCACCCGTACTGTGACGGTCCAGCAATGCTCGTAGCCAGAAATCGTGATTCAGCACACTTTGAATACTCGTCTCCTTTCCTTCGTAGGTATCACTCCAATTTTGTTTTTCTCCTGCCGATTTTCAAAGCCGTGCAGTCTACTTTCCCTGACCATTACATAATGCGATACAGCCGTTGAGAGGTGGTATACTACCGGCCAATTACCGGTACAAGTAAAGGGAGCTAAGAATTATTTGCACCACGCGGAAATACGCTCTGCAATCCTAACCTGTAGTAGTTCTACCGTACGAGAACACAAGACTGCCCGCCGGCCGTGAACTAGCATCCTGAACTACTGAGTACTGTACCTACGGCCCAGTAGATCTACGGGTAGATCTACCATCAAGACAAAGAGTCCATGGACTCTTGCAGCCTTGGTAGAAGTATCATGCACACGTGACGTAGTGCACCGCAGTGACCACACTCCAACTTTTCGTGTGAACAGAGGCAAGAAGACCAGGGAGTCGTCAAATATTTGACGACTCCCTGGGCAAGACCAAGGACATGAACAAAATTAATTACAATGCTGTCAATGGATGAAATGTTTTTTCACACATACAATTGTTTTCATTTTTTGGTGTTGTGTTCTAATCATTCGCCATGCCACTGTCAATTGTATTCTGTTTGCCCGTAAAATGGATGAAATATTTCTCCGATCTCATAATTATCACGTGCGCACGGAAAGCGCAGAACTGCAGATCTACCGGCCTACGGTCTATATGGGAAATATACTAAGTAGGCCTCGTAAAAGACCTCGGCGGACCTCGGCCTATTTCCCATAATTATAGACCTCGTCTTGGTCAATATCTTATACATGTACATATCATACAGTCATTGTTCATGTTGTTGTTGTTCTTGTTGTTGTTTTTAATTATTTCACTTTGCAAGCCAAGAATTAATGGACAGAACAGTTCATGAAACAAGGGAGGGAATGCATGAGCATCGTTGGTTCAAGAGTGCAATACATATGTTGCAACGCTGACGCCGAGACCTCTGGTCGGTTGAGTTGCTCCCAGCACATCAGCACGTCGTCCCTGCATCCCCCATGTTTTGTCCTTTTCCTCGTTTCTTTTTGTTCTCCACCTGTTTTCCAGTAGGGCTGTGTCAACAGTAAAAAACAAAACAAAACAAAATATCCCACGCGCTCTACAAAGCAGGTTTTGAACAAAGTACATGACAGGTGCATGGCTGTACATCAGGGATCGATTTACTTTGATTTTTTGCATAGCAGTCACTGACTAGCAACTCCCAGTATTGATTAGCAGTTTTCCTTCATCAAAAGTTTTACACGTATAACTGTACAATAGCAGGATTTTGTACAGAAGAGGACAATAGCTGCAGTTGCTATTTGCTTTTCAAAACGAACGGTTGACCTGAATATTTTACGTCAGGGTTTTCGCTTGGGCTTATTACAATCATGTTCAGCGTCCATCTGACTTCGAGTTCTTCACAACACAATGTCCTTCAACAGGGCAGTTCCACTGATTCCTTCGACAAATAAAGCGCAGGAAAGCGCTCAAACGATCGTGACACTTCGTTCAAAGCGCACAGAATTTTCGCTTTTCTCCTTTTCTTCATCGAAACGAATCGACACTCCTGGCGCGTCCAGTTCTTTTTCCCGCTTCTGGACAGTGATCAGATTCACTGAAATGTTGGCTACATGAGACTAAGAACTATCTACTTCAACTGTGTCTTGTCGAACAGAAACAAACTAAATTGAGCTTGATAGTGAAAGAAGAAAGGAAAGTCGCCGCCATGTACTGCAGTCTTGTACGACCAGTGCAGTGTGGCTAGTGCAGTGTCCAAAATCAAACAGAGCGCGATCCGCGACCCGTGAGCAGGACAGGTCAGTTTGGAGTAGTAAAATATTACTCCCTAGTCAGCAGTGGTGTACAGCAGTCGCATGCAAGCTGCACACAAAGAGTACAGAATGGTCTTTGTACATACCGGTATGCATGACCAGTGCATCGCAGTTTTGGGCGATAAAAAACAAAAAGCGAATCGCAGCCAGTGAATTTTGATTCGCAAACTGCGATGCGAACCCGGATAAATCGATCCCTGTAAACATGATGACTGTACATATGATAGAATCCAACACTGGTAATTTGGTAAACCAGCATTAGATAAACCTTGTTGTAGTTCACGCAATTGTTAGATTGACAGCATGAAACAAGGTGGAGGACACTGTGTTCGAAAACAGTGACCTTACTACAACCTTCCGCGGTTGGCAGAGCCCAGTCCCTGCGGACCATTTGAACCATATGGGTATCGCACCCGGTTCTGACCCTCATTATGCTTCGAGACTACTCCTGATGTCGTCGTGTTGTCTTCGCTCTTTTTTTTAACTTGTATAAAAACTTCTTTTTCTTTTTCTTTTTTCTTCCAACTTCTGCCCATGGCGTCCTTCTCTCAGCTCAGCTCGTCAGCTGTCAACAGTTTTTTTGTCATCACCATGACACTGTCGCGAGAAGGTGCTCTCTGTAGACGGGGTTGGTACATGTATGTCGAATACAAGCAAGAGTACATAACCCCCCGGGGTCATGTACTCTTGATACAAGATTACCCTTCATACCGTACGTTCAGTGCCAAGTCACCCGTGCGCCGGGTCACCACTAGCCCTTTCCCAAAGATGCCATGATTTTTCGCAACTCATGCTTTTCGCAACCGTGCCAAAACAGGTGCTAGTTGCTGAAATCGCATCCATATTTTCAGAAAAAGCTCAAAAGTTGCTAATATCGCAACTCAAAATTGGAGAGTTCTTGTACAAAAACCACCAAAAAGGGAGCAGAAATAGCAGAAGTCAAACTCATACATCCCTTCCTGCTGTGAATCACAACTTTACACAATGCAAGCAGAAGCAAATTAAATTCACATTTAGGCTGTTAGGTAGGTCGTCAAAACCTCGTTAGTTATGTCCAGTGGTTGTCTCTTGTTGTCGCACTACGAGTCGTACATGTCACGCTTATTGAGTTTTCTTGCACTTGCACCTTTGTGTCATTATTGCTATATTATTATTATTATTATTAGGCCAAAACAAAAAATAGGCTTGTTTCCGGTCGGCAACCCCTCAAAAAGGAGACTCGGTCGGCCGGAATGAAACTTTTTTTGGATACTTTTTTTTGGTTCCTCAATCGTTGTGGTATTGATGGACAAGAGCACCTACATACCGGTATGTACATTGTACATAATATCATGGCAAAGATCAATGTCAAAGTTGACTGACTCACTGTTCTTGTACAGCATGTGGTGTATTCCTGTTTTCGTACATCCTGAGAAATCAAGCAAACAGTTCGAGTCCTTCCAGCTCCGTTATTCTAGCTCGTATCGACCCCGGAGTTTTTCGAGCCGACAGCTGAGAATCTCTGCTACCTTGTAGGTGTTTCGATTGCGGAATTCGGTTGAGATTTGACTGAGTTATGACTCGTTGAGTGCACTTGCACACATGGCATTGCCACCGTTTGTATACATTTGGGACCAAAAAAAAGTTTCAGAATTTGGGAAAAAGTGGCCCGGTCGGGCGACCGGAAACAAGGTCATTATTTGTTTTGGCCTTATTATTATTATTACAGCCTCTGCTGGGATGACGACTACACCATAGCTCAGTGGTTAGAGCATTGCTGGCTACAAGCGAGGGTCCCTGGTTCGAGTCCTGGTGGTGACAGTCAATTTTTTCTTCAGACTTTTCCCGTTTGTCTCTTTCCCTCAAACCAGTTAATATTATTATTATTATTATTACTCATAAAAAGGACACACTTCAGGCTCATTACAAACATCTTGAAAGTTTTGTCTTCACAAGTATACTTTCAAGCCTTCTCATCAGGTGAAATACAGGCAAGAGAAAAGGAACAGGAACAGTGGATTAAATACAGTAAGAAGGTGGTAAAACAGCGCAAAAAGAAAGAAAGAAAGAAAGAAGATAGCTAAAGTAAACAGCGAAAAATTGCAATAATGACACAAAGGTGCAAATGCGAGAAAACTCAATAAGCGCGACATGTAGTGCGACAACAAGAGACAACCACTGGACATACATGTAACTTCGCTTCATCTACTCCACGGTGCGTGCGTTCACGGTGAGGAAGGACGTCCTACCTACAGGCCAATTATCCAAGTTGATTTATCACTTCGAGTGTCGGCAATGTGAGAGCCGATATGTAGGTAGGACTCTTCAACATCTGGACGCACGCATCCGACAACACGCACCGCTACACCTTATTCCACAACACGCACGATCCACTCGACCACGGAGGGGACGTCCAGCAAAGAATCATCCTGGTACAAGATGGTCCAACGCAGCGGCATCAACACCAAGGAACGTCACCTCACAATTAACTAGACCACCAGAAAAACAACCGGACAAGACACCTACGTGCGTGGCAGTGACAGGAACCACATCAACCAGAAGAATAACAAGATCGGCAACGGCGGCGATGGCAGCGACTAAAGCACAGACAGAGGCAACGGCTAGGGTCCACTCGACTAGCCATGTGAAATCGGATGTGTCCACCGCACATGCTGATTGTTCTGATGTTAGTGCTGATAAGTATGAGTCGTCCATTGCTAGTCATTTGTTTGAGCATCCTGATTGTCGTGCTGTGTATTCGGATGATTGTTTTTCGATTGTGTCACGTGTACGCAGTGCTAGATTGCTGAATGTTTTGGAAGCTGTATACATCCACACAAGGAAACCCAACCTTTGCAAACAGAAACAAATCAAATTCACACTTAGGCTGTTAGGTAGGTCGTCAAAACCTCGTTAGTTACATGTACATGTATGTCCAGTGGTTGTCTCTTGTTGTCGCACTACATGTCGCGCTTATTGAGTTTTCTCGCATTTGCACCTTTGTGTCATTATTGCAATTTTTCGCTGTTTACTTTAGCTATCTTCTTTCTTTCTTTCTTTCTTTTTGCGCTGTTTTACCATCTTCTTACTGTATTTAATCCACTGTTCCTGTTCCTTTTCTCTTGCCTGTATTTCACCTGATGAGAAGGCTTGAAAGTATACTTGTGAAGACAAAACTTTCAAGATGTTTGTAATGAGCCTGAAGTGTGTCCTTTTTATGAGTATTATCGCATTTTTGTCTCAGAGGAAATTATTATTATTATTATTATTATACGCATTCCCGCGGCAGCGTCAACCAAGCAGTAAAGCGGGATTCACAGAAGCTTTTTTGCGATGCGACACGCGATGCGACGCGATCTGCGATGGATGCGGGCGATGCGAACTCGCGAAATACCATTCACAGAAGAAGTCAGCGATGCGA